TGTTTTTCTGCTCCTTGTTCTCATTTTTCTTATAATAACTTCATTATGAGATTCCACTCCAGTCCTTTCTGTTGCTCATTTTTAGATGAAATTAGTTTTCCTGCACATTCAGTGGGGAGGAGTGAGTGAGGATAGCTTTGCTAAATTCAAGGCTCTACAGCTTCCTTGTCTATGTTTCCATGAAGTGGTCAGAAGAAGTACGGCTTCATACTTTCCGAGATCTTCTGGCTCTGTTCCCCTCCCCAACTCTCATTTGGACTTCCCCTTCCTTTGTCCAAAATATCCCTGGCCTACCCTATTTGTAGTATATTCCCTGTGGCTTTCTAAAGTGTCCTGCAAAGACACTTCGTCTGGTTTTGAGGGTTCACAGGACCCGGGCTGCTCCAGCTTCTTCAGTCCTTACTTTGGACCCCTTGTCCTCACCAGCTGCAAGCAGGGCTGTACAACACCCCGCCCCCCGCAGTTCCAGCTGCTGTTCTCCTGTTGGCCCACTGTACTTGCCAGGGAGTACCTATTCTGGGGTTCTCTTATTTTCAGATTTCTCAGACACTCTTTGCTTCCCCTGCTTCTTTCCACAAAAATGCTGATACCATGCAAGTCTTCGAGCCCCCAGTGGCTTCCACCTACATGAATTTTGGGGTTTGTGGTGCTGTCTCGTCTCCCAGTTCTGTTATAGATGTCCATAGGTTTTGGTTTTGCTATCCCAATTGCTCTGTGGCTTTTTTGTTGTTGTTTGTTTGCTTGTTTTGGTTTTTTTTTTTTAATGGTGGAATTCAGGGAGATTAAAAAATGCCACTGCTATCTTCCCAGAATGCTTTTCTCTCAATTCTTTATATAATGCCAACCAGTGAAATCAAACAGACAATGGACAAACCACCGTCTACTAACTTTTCTAAAAGTAGGGGATTCCAAGATGTAATAGTTATCAATCTAAAACCCATTCTGGGGACTTCCCTGGTGCCACAGTGGTTAAGAATCCACCTCCCAATGCAGGGGACGCAGGTTTGATCCCTGGTCAGAGAACGAGATCCCACATGCATGCCGCAACTAAGAGTTTGCATTCCACAACTAAGGAGCCCGTCAGCTGCAACTAAGGAGCACATGTGCCGCAACTAAGGAGCCGGTGAGCTGCAAACTAAGGATCCCACGAGCCACAACTAAGGAGCCCATCTGCTACAACTAAGGAGCACACGTGCCACAACTAAAGGAGCCGGTGAGGCACAACAAAGGAGCCCACCTGCTGCAACAAAGACCCAGCACAACCAAAATAAATAAATTAAAAAATAAAAATAAATAAAACCCATTCTGGTTGGGTGGCAGTGTGGCAGTGTGCCCAGATAAAAAGCATTTCCCAGCCTCCCTTGCAGCTAGGGATGACTATGTGATCCAGTTCTGACCAATAAGATATAAGCATAAGATATCAGTGGGGCATTGGAGAAAGCTCACCAAAAGGCAGATCAACTCAGCTGGCCAACCAACCCCTTTTGCCCTTTCCCTTCTTTCTTCCTGCCAAAAGCTGAGCTGAGCTGCTAGGCATCTGTGTAGAGTAGTAAAAATGAAACTAACGGTCAAGGATTTAATCATCCACTGTGACAGTATAAGCAAGAGACTAAACAGCAGAAAGTGCTGGCTCCCCTAATGTTCCATTTTTCTCCCTGGAACAGTGCCAGGCAAGAGTCAGGTGGATTAGTACAGATGCTGGGATTGTCTCACTGCTGAAGGATCCCTGAACAAAAGGCTCCTGCCTTTTTGCAGACCAGGGAGGCAGGGAGAAGGGAGGGGGGAAGGGCTAGGAGTGAAAAAGCACTGCATACTGAGTCAGAGTGGAGGAAACATTTCAAGGCCCCACTCTCGCCCCCTTCTCCCCCTCCCCCCTCCAACAGCCAGTAAGTTGGTCCCTGCAGAGACACCTAAGAGAGGCCATGGCTAGGCTCCCCCTTCTCCGCATAAGGAGCCTGGGCTAAGACTGGGGTGATGGCAGGATGGGGCCAGAGCCCTTGACTGCAAATCCCCTCAGGGAGTGCAGTGCACAGGCTATGTACCTTCCTGGGAGGCCTGTGGGCAAAGCTTTGTAACTGCCTATGGTTGGGTCTGAAATATGACACAGGTTTTTGGCTTAGAGGCGGACTCCTCACTGCCTACACTTTGCTGGAGAAGGAAGCAGGAATTTTGGGGTCAGATGATGACAAATTCATGCTAAAGACTGCAAAAGAAAAATAGAAAGATAGAAGGCAGAGTCCCTGATGGCCTCATGGAGCAGCAACGTTTACCTGGGACTATCTCCAAAGTTCTATTTACATGAGAAAAATAAAACTACTAATTTGTTTAAGCCACTGCTTTTCTGGGTTCTTTTACAGCTGAGTGAAATTCTTAAGGGCTACGTGGGGTTCCTAAGGGCAGTGGCTTCCAAAAGGGTGATGCTGGTTCGTTCATGAAGTTTTCACTGGTACTTGGTAGGTGAGAAAGAATGAATGTAGTCGGTTTTTCATAAACTAAATTTATTCAAACTTTTAGTACTGAGATTATGCCCTTCCAGATTATTTGACATTTTAATGTCCTCTCTTTCATGAGATGATGGTGGTAATTTATGATGCTGGTTGTGCCTAAAATCTTTACTTAAAAATTAAGTTCTGGTACTTCCCTGGTGGCGCAGAGGTTAAGAATCCGCCTGCCAATGCAGGGGACACGGGTTCGAGCCCTGGTCTGGGAAGGTCCCACATGCCACGGAGCAACTAAGCCCGTGCGCCACAACTACTGAGCCTGCGCTCTACAGCCCATGAGCCACAACTACTGAGCCCACTTGCCTAGAGCCCACGATCCGCAACAAGAGAAGCCACCATAATGAGAAGCCCGCGCACTGCAATGAAGAACTGCCCCTGCTTGCCACAAATAGAGAAAGCCCGCGCGCAGCAACGGAAACACAACACAGCCAAAAATAAATAATAAACAAATTAATTTAAAAAAATTAAATTCTGACCACTGTATCATAGAATCTCTAAACATAATTTTGGAAAAATGTACAAGTCATGTCAAAGTTAAAAATACTTAGTAGTAACTAATTTCCACCTCAAAATCAGATATTTGTGTGCCTGGAAAAAAACCTGTTTTTCTTTACTTGAACACTTACAACATTTCTGAGACCAGATATGTGGGGTTTTCCACCCTAAACAACTTTGACACTAACTGCCTGGAGTTACTGCACACCCACAGGTTAAGGGGTCTTAATGCTAATTGCAAGCAGTGGATCCCCAGGTTACCCATGACTTCTGTCTGACTTGGCTTATAAATTGGAGGTTCCCACGACCCCACCCCCTTGGGTTTGATAATTTGCTCACAGAACCCAGGAAAATAGTTAACTTACTACTGCTGGTTAATTACAAAAGACATTTTAAAGGATACAAATGAACAGCCAGATGAAGAGATACATAGGGTGAGGTCTGGGAGGGTCCCAAGTGCAGGAGCTTGTGTCCATCTGGAGTTGGGGGTGTACCACCCTCCCAGCACATGGATGTATTCACCAAACCAGAAACTCTCCAAACCCCGTTCTTTGGGGATTTTTATGGAGAATTCATCACATAGGCATGACTGACTAGTAACTCCATTCCAGTCCCTCTCCTCTCTCTGGAGAATAGGGGCTGGGGATGAAAGTTCCAAGCTTCTAATCATGGCTTGGTCTTTCGGGTGACCAGCCCCATCCAGGAGCCCCCAAGAGTCTCCTAATTAGAGCCAAAAATGCTCCACTATCCAGGAAATTCCAAGGTACTGTCAGTCACTTCTATCACTCGGGGTCTTAAGGGCTCTCTGTCAGGAAGTGGGGTCAAAGACCAAATATTAGAACAAAAGATTCTCTAGCACCCCTATTTACAAGGACTTTAGGGGCTTTGTGTCAGAAACTGAACTGGGGCAGAAACCTTATATATTGAGATATATATATATATATATATATATAATTTCACAATATGCTTCTATTCTTCAATAGGAGAAAAATCCTGTCACTTTCGGTAAGAGATAAGAATGGGAGGTTGCAGATGGCTTGTACAGGGGAATGCACAGATGCACATGTATAAGAATCACTGCCTTGGGCAGCAGGAGTTAAGTATTAAAGAAAGAGAGAGCCAGGGCACCAGTTCAGATGGTGATTGGAAAGTATGAACACCAAGTTCTTTGAAGAGTCCTTAAAGACAAAAGAAATATTTAGCTGGAGAGGACTCAGGGGGTGCAGAACAGTTGCTTTCAAACATCAGAAGTTAACAAAGGGAAAGGAGTTCAGACTTTGATCTGAGAGCCCAGGGTTGGAGCTCGGACCAATCAGTGAAAACCGCAGAGGCGCTTCTAACAGCAGGAGCGGTTCAGGAGGAATGGCTGCCTTGGTGAGGCTGAGGCTGGTGATCCCTTAGCAGGGATCACTGGACTGTCAGATCCATGGGAACAGGGACATCGTCTGTTTTGTTCGCTGCCCCAGTACCTAGAAAGGTGATCAGCGCATAGTAGGTGCACAATATATATTTGTTGAATAAGGTAATGGGGGTGACAGTCAGCATTCAATGGGAAGTTTGCCATGGTGACCTTAAGTCACTGTAGCCTGAATTTCTGTGCCGCTTCCTTTATCTGCATGATCATCCTTTTAAGTCCAAATGTGTCTTTGTAGTTGTCTCAGAAATACACGGGGAACTCCTGTCCTGAAGAGGACAACAGAAACAGTGGGAAATCAGCAATCCTGACCTAGAAGAAGCTAAGCCTCCCAGATGGTGTATATATTTTATTTATTTATTTTTTTTTTTTGTGGTACGTGGGCCTCTCACTATTGTGGCCTCTCCCGTTGCGGAGCACAGGCTCCGGACGCGCAGGCTCAGCGGCCATGGCTCACGGGCCTAACCGCTCCGCGGCATGTGGGATCTTCCCGGACCGGGGCACGAACCCGTGTCCCCTGCATCAGCAGGCAGACTCTCAACCACTGTGCCACCAGGGAAGCCCCAGATGGTGTATATTTTGAACACAAAGTATAAACAAGTATCTGTGAGGTGTCACTGGTTTCTCCCTTTCATGGTCTCTAGCCAGGAAGCCACACCACCTTGAAGAGGCACTCAAAGGGCACTAAAAGAATTTTCTAAAATCTGTATGTCAAAATAGGTTATAGGTAAGCATGTCCTTTAAACACACTGTTCCATGCTTAGAGGAAGAAAAATTCGGATGTCCATTTTAACCCCCGCACTCCAACAGCTAGCACATTAAATCAGACTCCCAGCAACCTCCGGCAGGCTGAAGATAAAACATCAAGTAAGAACCTGAGCGCAAAGTCACGAAGTGCAGACACAGACGTTATTATTATTATTATTGTATTTTGTATTTATTTTGCAACCATTAGGTTCAGTTGCCCAGAGTCAGGTCACCAAAGACAAATTTTCAGCCTCCCAATGAATCCCAACCAAAGTTCATGCTGTTTGGGCACTTTAGGATGGCAAGGGGAGCAGAGGCTCACCTAGGTAATCTGTACACGATCCAGAGAAAAGACACCCAAGTTAGGATGGATCCATTCCAGGGATTAAGGGTGTACCTAACGTGAAGCACACCACGTGACCATGAGAGGCAAACGCAGGGCACTTGAGCAGCCTCACCCATCCCCTCGTATTTCTCTCCAAACCAGTGCACAGTCACAATGACAAGTGACAGTGAGAGAGAAGAGCTGAATGACACGTCTCAACTCAACAACATTTAATTGTTTTTTGTTAAATAGGTGATTAGGCTTCAGTGTGGCACCCCCCAGATGTTGGGGGTTGGGGCCATTCCATCCGTTTGCCTGCGCTTTGGTCGTTCTGCTTTCCTGCAGTGGATACCATGTCCGAAAGAACCATACTCCAAAACCCACTGAAGAGAACTGAAAAACAAAAAGAGTAACTTTCAAGATCAAGTTGCCCCCGTACAGAAAGGATTTAGAGATATAACTTCAACACCAGAGCAGTCTGCCTCCACCAGCTCCCTAAACCTAGAGCCTTGAGCCCTGATTTATAGGCTCCACGGAAGAAAATGACATTTTAAAAAGTTTTCCTCTATTTCTTTGGAAACCCAATGACTTTCTCTGATACACATCCCAAAGCTACCTTCAGCCATCCTCCTTTCTCTCTTCTTTGTGACTGATCTGTGTTTGGTGCTAGAGGAGGAAAGACAAAAGTAAATATCTTTTTACATAAAAAGGCATAAAAAGATTTGGAAAGTGAGAGCTGTTTGTGGTTGCTGAAACATATGGTTATACAGGGGACAACGGCAGGATATGAGGCAGGACAAACAGATTAGGGATGGATCATGGCAATCCAGGGAGTTTGGGTTTTCTTTAGACAACAGGAGGCCAAAAAAAAGTTTTTAAGTAGAAGAGTGATGCAGTCAAAAGCACAATCAGATTTATAGATTTTCAAAGACCCCTATGGCTACATATAGGATGGATCAGAAGGAGGAGGAGAAGAGAGACAGAGAAACCCATCAAGCTCTTACCATAGTCTAAATGTGAGATGATCAGGTCCTGAATGCTGGGTATGGTACTGATAGGACAGATTTGAGAAATATTTCAGAGGTAGCACAGACAAGTCTTGCTGACAGATAAGATGTGGAAGATAAGAGGGAGGAATCTACACTGATGCTGAGGTTTCTAGCTTGGGTGACCAGGTAGATTTCTTAATTCATCCAACAAATATTGATGGAGGACTCACAAGCCAGGCACCAGATACAATGAATAAGGCAATCATGGTTCTAACTCTCAAGAAACTTACAGTCCAGCAAGGGAAACTACAGAGTAAACAAATACATAAAACATTACTTATGTAATTACGATTATAAGGTACCATGAGAGGGTATGATAAAGAATCTAACCTAGTCTGAAATCAGGGGCGGTGTGGATGGTAGTGCCATTCACTGAGACAGGAAAATGAACGAAGATCTGGTTGTTGGGGGGATGAGTTTAGTTTTGAACATAATGAATTTGAGGCATCTGTTGGTACACCTAGTTGAGGATTTGCAAGAGACGGGAACTTGGAAAAAGAGGCTAGAGATACGGTGAAATCCAGGGGAGATTAAGGAATGTGGCAGAGAGGGGTCCCTAATGCATGGCCTTCCCCCTAAGAGAATAAGCCAGGCCTCCCTGGCGACCTCATCGGGGGAAATATCACAACCAGTGTCAGCATTTAAGCATACCATGAAGGTGAGGCTGAGGCAGGGGAGATCTGCCTAAATCCACTGGCTCTAGAAAAGGGAAAAGTTGCCAACAAAATAGCTGTGAAAAGTGGTTGGAGAAGGGTGGACGCTGTAATTTGCTGGAGTGAAAGAACCTAGAGTCCTGATTGGCCTTCTGGTAAGCATGGGCTCCGGTTTCTGAAATGCTAAGTAAAGGTAGGGACAAACCAGCCCACAGGGCAGGCACTAAAGGTTTATTTTCATAAATATGGAAAGATTTGGCCCACAATGTCACCATCAGCCAGGGCTCCCTCGCCACTTCCAGGCCTAAGACCTGGGTAAGGCCTCCCTGGCCACTTCTAGCTCCCCACCACGGTGGCCCCCTGTGGCATGCCCTACTCCCTTCCTGGCCCCATCCCTGCAACCAAGCCTGGACAGTATCACCATTGCCTGATCTGGGGTGTTCCAATCAGAAGTTCCCAAACTCATGATTTTCTTTTTAACTCAGCAAGGTCTGCTAGTCTGTGTGATGCAGGAGATATAAAGTTGGGCTGTAAAATCTGGGAAGGTAAGAACCTATCTCCATTGTTCACCAGTAGCCCAGCACCTAGCACAGAGTAGGTCCTCAATGAATGAACAAGAGTTTCCAAATAGCTTGGCAAATGATCCCAGGAAAGTTTTGAGTGCCATATGGTATGTATATAACCCTTGCTTGTTCAAAATCAAGCTTTCCCCAAATGCCTGCTGAGTGCTGGGGCTATATTGGTAAATAAACCTCTGACCTCAAGGAACCCTCAGTCTATGAAGTTATGGTTCATAAGAAAATGGCCACAATAGAGAAACATACAAAGAACTGTAGCATAGCCTAGAGAAATAAGTAAGTAATATTACCTGGAGAAGTAAAGCAAAACTTCACCAAGGACAGAGTATCTGAAGTAGGCCCTGAAGAATAAATAGGAAGTTTCCAAGCAGACAAGGGAGGGAAAAGCATATTCCAGAACTTAAAAAAAAAATCTTGAAAGATTTTATTTATTTATTTTTTATGCTGCGCCTCACGGCTTGCGGGATCTTAGTTCCCCGACTGGGGATTGAACCTGGGTCATGGCCGTGAAAGTGCAAAGTCCTAACTACTGGACCACTAGGGAATTCCCTTCAAAGATTTTAAAGTAACATTTCCAGTAGTTAGAGGTAGTTTGGTACTTTTCCTACTAGATCCCAGTGAGCGCACAGTGGGATAAAACAAGTAAGTACTTATGTGATAGCCCAATTCTATCATTGATGGTGTCAGTGAGAAATGAGATCCTCAGTACAGGAGAAAGGAGATATGAATATAAGATACAAGCAGTTTAGTACTGCACTAAACAGGAATTGGAAGTATCAGTATGAACGCACAACACACGTTCTATCAAGCAAACAACAATCCTATTTCCTAGCTCTGAACATTGAAAAGGCCTGAAAACAATGACTAAGCCAGTTGCAGTGAGCACCACTAGCATCCAAATTGTGACCTGGAAATACTATTTCCCTGAATGGACCAGGACTCCTTAGAGAAAAGGCTCAGTCTGGGTCTGGGACAGGAAAAGTCCAAAATGAGCCTAGAACATTTGGTCATAACAGATAACAAGGCAGTTACCAGAGACTCCTAGGGTTGTGCCGACAGGACTCGGGGACCAACCTGAAGAGGCTCCCGGTGGCCAAATACAGGACAATTTGAGCATCAATAAGCATAGTATTTGCAATGGACTGAAACTAATTGGTCATTGCTGCAGATCCTAGTGAGCCAACTACTATTTTGAAAGCGGGTAAATAAACAGAAAAAAATCATTTATCTTGCTTTTCTAATATAAACTGTATCACCGGAAGCACACAGATGAAGGGAAATTTTTAGTAAAGAAGTATTCTAGTAAATAAATAAAGAAGGAAAGATAGAACTGAAATATCACCATTTTGAAACCCCTACTGAATTAATGGGTCTAGGCATTGCTTATTAATGGCTACTAATACCAAAAAGACAGAGAGATAATTAGACATTATGAGTTTATGGATGGAAGGGTTTTACGGCACATATCAAGTCATCTTGCCCCCCAAAAAATCAATCTGAATCTGATCAAACCTTTAGATACAACCAGCAATTCACAGAAAACAGAGGACAGAGCTATATGTTAAATGATACCATGGAGAAACAATCAGCAAAATCCAGACAGTGAAAAACTATAGGATAAATGATTTTTCAACAAATAAGTGGCAAAGGGAAAGAGAAAGATGGAGTAGGACTCTATAATTTAAAAGGCATTTAGAGGTACAACACCCAATTGCCATATGAAACTCAAACACTGAAATGCATTTGATATTAGTTATTTCTTTTTTTTAAATATTTTTTTATTTTGGCTGCACTGGGTCTTAGTTGTGGCACGTGGGATCTTTTAGCTGCAGCATGTGGACTCTTAGTTGCGGCATGCGGACCCTTAGTTGTGGCACGCAAAGTCTTAGCTGCGCCATGCAAACTCTTAGTTGCGGCACGTGAACTCTTAGTTGCAGCATGTATGCGGGATCTAGTTCCCCGACCAGGGATCGAACCTGGGCCCCCTGAATTGGGAGCATGGAGTGTTACCCACTGGTCCACCAGGGAAGCCCCAAGAGTTATTATTTCTTAAGATGTGATTATGGCACTGTGGTTAGGTTTTGAAGAGTATCTTTCTTTTTTTTTTAAAGGTTGTTTTAGCTTCTTATTTTAAATATTTATTTATTTTTGGCTATTCCTCATGGCTTGTGGGTTTTTTTTTTTTTTCGGTACGCGGGCCTCTCACTGTTGTGGTCTCTCCCATTGCGGAGCACAGGCTCCGGACGCGCAGGCTCAGCGGCCATGGCTGACGGGCCTAGCCGCTCCGCGGCATGTGGAATCTTCCCGGACCAGGGCACGACCCCGTGTCCCCTGCATTGGCAGGCGGACTCTCAACCACTGTGCCACCAGGGAAGCCCCCGGCTTGTGGGATCTTATTTCCCGACTGGGGATTGAACCCGGGCCCATGGCAGTGAAAAGTGCAGAGTCCTAACCACTGGACCGCCAGGGAAGTCCCTGAAAAGAGTATCTTTTATAGATACAGAATTTAAGTGTTTATTGATGAAATAATAGGATGTTCTATATTTGCTTCCAAATAATACAGGGGAAAGAGTTGGGGAATATATGGGTATGTGGATGAGACAAGGCTGGCCATGAGTTGACAACTGTTGAAAGTGAAAGAGGGGAGGGGTACATAGGGATTCACTATAATATTCACTCTACTTTTGTCTATGTTTAAAAGTTTCCACTAAATAAGTCAAATAAAAGAATAAAAAGTTATTGTGTTGACCCACTTACCATCCCAGGTTCTCCCAATTTTCCTCAAAGAAAGGGAACAAAGAAGAAAACGGAAAAAGAAATAGCCCAGGAACTGAAAATGGATTCTCTGGGAAGGGACATTTCCCGACATGGTGTGGAAAAGAATAAGGGGCTGTAGAAAACAGTGTTAGCTATGGTGTGAGATCATGCGGTTTGGACACTGTGTTAAAGGGGATTACAGCATTCATTGAGTTAAAGCTGATTTCAGAATAAAAGAACTGATGTGTATAAACCCAGTAAGAACATTTGAAGCTTTGGCTTATAAAATGAACTCTTGACATGAGTGAGTGAAAGGATAATTGCATATAAACCCTGTGTATCGAATCAGGAGGGTTTTAATTACAAAGGAGTCTCCTGAAGCCCTCTGCTCATCCCTTGTTAAAGCCCTTATCACACTGCGGTATATTTACCTGCTGGCCGTCCTCCTCTGGACAGAGCCACTTGTCATTGCCCCTGGGAAGGTAGCCCCAGGCTGAATACAGTCCTTCAGATACTCCATCCCTCAAGCCAAAGTAAGACTCCCTAGGTGCACCAGGGTCCTGGCTCAGAGAAGAACTGGCATTGGCCCTCAGGTGATAAGTTAATATAAAACAGAAAGAACGAAGGAAGGAAGGCAAGAAGAAAGCCAGATGTTCTTTATAATGTCTCAATGACTTATGTAGAGGTAGCTTCCCTGATTACAAGTAATTGGAGGCTCCCTCGTGATCCTGAAGTTCTAGGGAAAGAAGGGGTTAATGCTCTCCCAGTAATCCCTTCCAGGCTAAGCCCTCCACTGCACAGATTTACATGAGGAAAGTTATCTGTGAGATTAGAAGTCATTCTTTTCCAGTGAAAGCTGGCAGTCCACAGCTTACAGTGGGAGGCACAGCCAGGTCATAAATCTGCAGCGCTCAGGGCTCTGGACAGCCCTCTCATGGGCAAAGCGATTGATGCTTCTGCCAGGGAGGCTCCGAAGAAACTGTTCATCACTATCTCATTTAGAGACTTGATACCCAAATGGAGACACTGACACCCAAGTTTATAGATCTGAGCAAAGCCCATAGGTACCAAATTTGTGTAAATCAGGATGGGAGGTCTGCAAGGGCCCTAAGGGCCAGGATCTTCCAAGATGCCAGCTTCTGACTCTCTGAAGGTGTATAGCACCTGGGACACTTGGTCTGGAGACTTCATAACCAAAATGTATGAAAGGAACTGTATGTATGAAGTCTCAGCCCAGGAGCAGGCTGAGAGAGCCCCTCTCCAGGTTGATGTCAGGTATTCTGAGGCAAGGCAGAGAGCCAGGCAGCTGTGGTCACTGTGTCCTCCACCTCTGTCCCTCTGCAGCTGAGCTCAGGCTTTCTTGTTCTAGGTGATGTGAGCCCACAGCGCATCACTGTGTCTCAATGAACAGCCTACGTCTTTACTTTCCCAAAAGCCACGGGAAGTTGACTACTCTTTTCAGAAAAACGGGTAACTAATTGCTTTCTGCTCACGCAAGACCCCCTCTGTGAAGCCTTCCCCCAGGCCAAATGAGTCAGTGTTTCTGTGCTCCCACAGTGCCCATCAACTCACAACTTGGCCATGGCACTTCTCACACAGCCTGGCCCACCGCCTGGTCCTTATCTGGTGAGCTGTTTTACCCATGGACCAAGGCGCCTTGAGGCAGACTCTATCCGATTTTGCAGGTCCCCGGTGCCCAGCTCACAGAGGCCACAAAGTGGCCTCAAATAAACATTGAGTGAGGAAGTAAATTATGATCCAGGACTCAGTGAGCCAAGGCACTTCTGGTAAAAGCCCACATCCTGACTCTTGCCTGAATCTTACAAAGTCACCTCCATCCACGCAATTAACGAAGCACTTGCCCTGTCTGTGCTAGGCGGGTATTAGGCCAAGACCAGGGAGTCCAAGTGAAATAAGAGTCCCTTCCCCATGGACCTCAGATGAAGATCCATCCTGCTCTGGGGCCTTCTCTGCTAACAGTCAATGGAGTCCATTTGCAGGATGAGCTGGACAAATGTGCAGGCAATTCAACAGTAATGCAAACCACCTACCACGTGCTCCTTCTAAGGCAGTGGGCTCCAAAAACAACCCACTGAGGTAGTGGAAAAAAAATATTAGAACTTCTATCAATATTTATTTTTCATCAAAAAATAAGGAATTAAGCTTTAATAGTTACTATATGGATTGACAACAGTCTTTGTAAATGCTTCAAATATAAACGTGTCACTGAAGGTGTGTGCTTGTGGCAGAGACTCTAAAATGGCCTCCACATGATGTATATGTGATGTATATACACATATACACATCCACATGATGTATATGTACAGCAAATCATCACAACGTGCACTTTAAATATCTTACAATTTTGTCAGTTCATCCTCAATAAAGCTGAAATATTAAATTAAATTAAATTAAAAAATAAAAATGGCCTCTAATGATCCGGTATTTATGCCCTGATGTGTCCTGTCCCCTGGAGTGTGGGCAAGACTTGCGACTTGCCTCTAATCCAAAGAATACGGCAAAGGTGATGGATGTCATTTCTGTGATTACATTACATAGACGGTAACTTGCATCTTCCTAACAGAGTCTCTGTTGATTATCTCCATTTGTGGCTTTGATGAAGTAAAAGTCCTCATATGGAGGGGCCTATGTGGCAAGGAACTGAGGGCAGCCTCCAGCTGACCATCAGCAAGGAGGCCACTGGTCTGGCAGGCCACAAGGAACTGAATCCTGCCAAGAACTATGTGAGCTCAGAAGAAGATCCTTCCCCGGCCCAGTTTTCAGCCGAGACCCCGGGCGCAGGCAACACTTTTGAGTGCAGCCTTATGAGAGTACTAAGCAAGGAGAAGGAGAAGGAGAGAACTAAGCAAAGCTACGCCCAGATTCCTGACTCACAGAGACAGTGAGATAATGAATATGTGTTTTTTGAGCTGCTAGGTTTGTGGCAATATTGTTAGGCAGAAATAGATAATACAGTCCTCAAATTCTTAACTGACAGGTTGTGCAATCAAAGTAGTGTGGAGACCTCTAGATTAGCAAAGTAGGCGTTCCCCACCCCCAAAAGAGCCAAAGGTCAGCAGGGGAGCCTGCAAGTTTTCGTGGTAAAAAGAACATCAGCCTAAAAAGTGGGAAAGTGGAAAAAAATCTCAGGAATTGGTTCCCGAAGACCTGGGTTTGATTCCCAGCTCTGCCTCTGAGAGAGGGGTGATCTTAGTCAACTCAGACTTACTAAAGCCCAGCTTCCCTCATCCATATAACGGGGGACAACAAGCCTGGTAAGAGAGGCCAATGAGAGCGCCCTGGACAGCGTTTTGTAACATAGAATGTGATATACACGTTAGTTTGCTACCAAACCTGGCCTTGGGCAGGGCACTGTCCTCTCTTGGCCTCAGCTTCCTTATTGTGCAAAGAAGAGGGAAGCACATCCCATCTCCAAGGGCTCTGACCTTCTTTGATTCTAGCATCACCTATAATGTGAAGAGAGGAAGTGGGGAAATCAGGCTCTGACATTTACAGTGGTTTCCCAGTCACGCCATTGGCCAGGATGACTGTCGCACCAACAAGGCAACCGGAGAGGCCTCTGTTTGACCAATCACATCTTGTCACCTTGCAGGGTCGGCAACCTAAATTCCTCAACTAAGAGGGAAAATCTCCATTTGTTTTACAAAAAGGAAATAAAGGGTGACAGTAAAGTGAGTAAGAACCACCAAATTTCAGCACAGATGACTAACCCCTTTCAGAGGGGCCGCAGCTTGATTCTATTACTGAGCACCAACTACGTGCCAGGAGCTTTTATAAACACGGTCTCTACTTTCACTACAATCTTAGCACATAATACACACACACACCTCACTTCACTGTTCGTCACTTTATTGCACTGTGCAGATATGGTTGTTTTTTACAAATTGAAGGTTTGTGGCAGCTCCACATCGAGCGAGTCTATTGGCACGTTTCCCAAGAGCATTCATCTCTGTGTCACATTTTGGTAATTCTTGAAATATTTCAAACTTTTTCATTATTATCCTATTTGTTATGGGGATCTCTGATCAGTGATCTCTGATGTCACTACTACTAGGACTCAAAGAGGGCTCAGATGATGGTTAGCATTTTTTTAAGCAATGAAGTATTGATACTTTCTAATTAAGGTATGTGCATTGCTTTTCTAGACATAATACTGTTGCATACTTAATAGGCTACAGCACAGTGTAAATATAACTTGTATATGCACTAGGAAACCAGAAAATTCATGTGACTTGCTTTACTGCAGTACTCACTTTACTGTGGTGGTCTGGAACTGAACCCACAATATCTCCGAGGTATGCCTGTAGACTGTATCATCTTCATTTCATCGTAAGTTAGCTGAGGCTCAGAGAGAGTCAGCCCCTTGCCCCAGGCACACTGCTAGTACGTGGTAGGGCAGGGATTTTCATTCTGTTTGACTCTGAAGGCCCTGGTCATTGCACCACACCCTGTTGCTCTGGGAGATAGCAGCTTGGGCAGAAAGGTCAGCCCATGATTACAACATAGAGTAAAGGTTCTTGGCCCACAGTGAGATCATGTGCAGAGTGTGGCTTCATTCATTCATTCCACAAACATTTACTGAGCACCCACTGTATATACCACGGCATGTGGTGGGCAATGAAGAAACAGAGAAATACCCATTCCTTGTTCTTATGGGGAGACACCCTAGTACATGGAGGACAAATAGACGAATAAATGCGTGAACAAATGGATAAGCAGATGGACACACTGACAGTGAGTGACTGGTGTTTCGAGCACCACTAATAAAATGATGTATAATGTAGGGTTTAATGGGTTCACAGGTAAGTGATGACTGCTGGAAGGGAAGGAACATTTCAGACAACTGGATCAGCAAGTGCAAAGGCAGGATGTGTTCTGGAGATGGCAAGCAGCTCAGCATGGCTGCAGGCTCAGAACACAGAGGAGGTGGAACGGGGAGGCGAGAGACTAGCCATGGAGGAACAGGGTCTTTTTCCTGTACTCTGACCCTCTGAGCTAACCACCAACAGTGGAATCATCAAAGAGGCCCAAGAACAAACTGGGCATGAGAACTAGTAAGCTTCGGAGAACTGCATGAGTAATTCAAGAGCGGTCACACTCAGGGTCTGAGGCCAGCCTGAGAAGTCACAGAGAAACTGGAGAAAACCACTAGACTGTAATCAAATGGAACAAACCCATGCTGTGCTGCTGGGAAGGGGACAGGGAGTAGAGAAGAGGGGATGCTGGGGCCAAAAGGCAGGAACTCCTCTTACAGAAGAATCTGAGAGCTCGTGTTTCCCAAATGTATAAAGCCAGATGAGTCTACTTCCCAACTGAAGCCTCAGCAAGAGGGACACACACAGGGACATGCGTGTGCACACACACCACACTGAACCATGCAGACAGATAGAAGGGCCTGGCCCTCTCAGTGCTTCATGTTAACAGCAGCAGGACTGATGCCCCTGCCCATTTTTACTGTACCTCATAGCGAGAAGATGAAAAGATAATCGCTCACTTTCCCCTTTAGCTGGACTTGGCTGCTGCAGCTGTTTGGTTTGGAGCAGCTGTGCTTGTTGGGAGATGGTCCATCTCTGGTGCGTCAAAAAAGTAGGCCTGCAGGAAAAGGAGACCCGTGAGGGTGGTTAACAAATAATGGTCCAGGTGCGTGTCCTAGACTCCACGCTGACAGTACCTCTGGGCTCTCGTGGCCCCTACACTTCCCCCACTGCACTGGTCATCACTGAACTGTCCCTGTTTCTGTCTCTTACTCGACTGAGACTGCCTTTTTAAACTTTGCTACCATTTATTACGCACTTGCTACCTATGACTTAACCTTCATAACAACTCGGTGCGGTTGTTATCACTACCCTCATCTGACAGATGGAGAAACTGAGGCTCAGAGAGGCTGCCATTCCATTAGGTGCACGTGGCAGCAAGTGGTGCAGCCAGGACTCAATGCTTGGTCTTTCCGACTGCAAAGCTCAAGCTGTTAATCACCACAGTCTCTCCTCCAAAGACCGTGTCTTTCTTGTCTCTGCGTCACCAGCCCCTCACACAGGGCCGGGCACACCGTGTAAACAATCAATACTTAATGAACTGAACCAAGGTAGACTGCTGCCAAACCAGTCGGCTCCCCGTAAAGAGCCTTCACAGAAAGTGCTAGGCAGGCTTCACCTCTTAATTCTTCAACTTGGAAATGAAAGGTTTGATAAGTGCTTCCACTCACCATCTACAATTTAACTATCAAAAATCAGAAGGAGGTGGAAAACGGAAAAACATCAGGGAGGATCTTCCCACCTGTTTCGGGGTCTGAGAAGCCTAACGTGAGCCCAGGAAAATACCAATCTCACTAGCCTAGAACTCGGGTTGTTCGAAGGACAGGTGAACCCGTTAGTAAATCAGGGACCACTGCCTGCGCATGACTCGCCCCTGGAGCCGGGGCCTCAGGAAGGTAAAAAAGATAAAAAGCCACCAAGTCAAGAGCCATCTCACCAGCTCTGCTCTCTATCAGCCAGAAGGGGGCGCCAACACAACACGCTGGAGTTTCCCCCAACATAATTCCTATTTCGAGTTAAGTCTTCAACAATCCATTTCAAAAAGTTCCTAGCTGCAGACTCCCTCTAGTTTGTCACATGCCCTGGGCAATTCTAGTAGTTTTAAAAGCCTTCCTCCCCAAGGCCCCTTCCAGCAGCTGTTTTCCAAGGAAGGAGAAGAATGGTCCCTAACCCGAGCAGGGGCAGGGGCCAGGCTACTAGCGTTGGGCCCCTCCAGTTATCTTGCGGGTGCACTGAGCCAAGAAGCCCCCAGGATGCAAGAACAACGACTATCTTCCAGGGTCCTGGAGGAAACCCTCACCAGATGGAATAAGCCAGGAAGCCCAGCTTCTAAACCTGGCTCTGCTAGGAACTCGCACTATGACTTTGGCCAAGTCTTATCTGTTAAATGAAAGGATTGGAAAAAATAATCCACGAAAATAAAAATAATTAATTCCACAAACACTAGGGCACAGACCCTCTACTCGGAGCAGTACCACCTCAAACACAGGTTTTGTGCATCTCCAAACATACCAGCCAAGGATGCAACCTCTAGTGCCTCCTTAGTCTCCCTGCCAGGTGTGTTCCAGGACCAACTTAGAGATCGTGTACAAGTACAAGCACCGAGGGACCCACAGCAGGTGCTGGGCTGTCATATGCTTCACTGCACTAAGGCGAAAACACCAATTCGTGTTCCCCAGGGGACAGTGAGAAGGCCAAGCTGTCTGCTTCAGCCAGTGCCCCTCAGCTCAAGTAACTCCCCTGTCATTTCCTCTCCCTGCCTTTGCAGTGATAGTAATCGTACATATCATTCAACCTTGTGGTAACATCTTTACTCCTTTTTCTAAGTGAGGAGGTGGGGGTCCAGAGGGGTGAACTAATAAGCAAAAAAGCAGGCAGTGATGGAGTTGAGACAACAAAACCCCAGACCCAGTGGGCCCCTGGCTAAACAAATGGTTCCCTTCCTCGAGGAAAGAAAACTGTGCCTCCCGTCCAAGAAGCGGTCCTACACCTGCAATTAGCTACCTGCTCCACCATCCAATCTGCCCCGCTCCCCTGAGTCCCTTAAAACTGAACAGGGCAATGTCTTTTCTCCTGCCTCCTTCTCTCGTCCAACTTCTCAACCGTGTGTGCGTGTGTAAGAAGTTCAGGAGAGAGATGAGAAGATGCCAGGGAGGGGCACCAATGGAAGGGCACTGTCCCTAGAGTTGTGGCCTGGGACCGCTCTTACTGGGGCACTCGGAGGAACAGGCAGCAGAGTGGCCCTGGCAGTTTCTGATGACACAGGGCTCGTTCAATAACTTCTTTACATCTGAAGGAACTATCACAGCATACGAAGCGCTTTCACAGCCATTTCACGGAGTCTCACCAAAGCCCACGAAATATGAATCTCCCTGACAGGTGAGGAAACCCAGGTTCTGAGTTCTGAGAGCCTAGGCTCTCAGTGCTAAGCAGCACTGAGTGCTCTTTCTACTTCGTTATGATGCTCTCTTTTAGAAACTTCCTGAGTAGCAAGATGGGCAGGTAAACCCTAACTTCAGTGTCATTTACCCCCGAAAGGGAGGAGCAGGCCTAGGAGGTAAAAGATCCTGGCCACAGGTACCAAATTAAACGTGTTAATAACAACACCACCTCCCTGCTCCATAGCCCCATCTGCCTTGCGCCTCTCTACTCTTTACAGAACAGAACACGGCAACGCCTTTCTCCTGCCTCCTTCCCCTCACCAACTTCTTAACAAGGTCATAACACACACACACACACACACACACACACAAAATTCAAAAGAGAGATGGGAAGACACCAGTGAGAGGCATTATAGCGAGAGAGTGTCACAGTGCAAAGCACCTTCTTTCTCAGCAGACAGGAGGGTCACAGGAAGGTCACAGCAGCATTTCTAGGCATCAGCCCAGAGATTCCAAGTGCCAGACATTAACAGTGTCACTCTGCTGTCTCAAGGGGTTAAAGCTGAGGCATATGTAAAATGCATGTCAACCAAGAACTCGGCACTTTTTATGAGACTTGTTCAATGATAAAGTATTGGGATCTTATTCAAGCACTCAATGAGACCATGGTTGTCTACAGAAAATATTCAAGATCAAACAGTGCCAAAGAAATCTTTACTCCTGTAACTGCAAAGTCTGACCAAGGGTCTGGCCATGTGCTATGTGAACATCTTCCTGTGGGCAGCCATGACCTTAACATTCTTGGATTTGGATTTTTTTAAAAACCTATACCAGGCCTTGTTAAGGCCATGGGCAGCAAGTTTTACACACAATGTGTACAGAAATTACAAAGAACATGTCTCCTTAGGATCAAAGGAAAGGGATCTAATTTATGGGTATTTATGGGACAAATTCCATGTTAAGTGCTTTATATGTATTATTTTATTTTATCCTCAGAACAACCCTCTGTGGCAAGAACTATTATACCCACATTGCAGATTAAGAAATCCAGATTCAGAGAAGTTAGGTTCCCTGCCCAAGCTCATACAGCCAGTAGTGACACAGCTGGTCTTCAATCTGGGCCTGTCTGACTCAAACGCACATGGTTTCCCTAAAAAGATACCTAAACACATTAATTCAAACATTGTTTTAAATGTTGTTCATCTTAAAGATAACTTTTTCCTATTTTGACTTCATTCTCGAGCTTTCTACCTATGAAACGCTGAATTTCAAAACTCTTTCTGAGTCTGTGCAGAAAACCAGTAAAAGCATCCAGAGGCGGAACCCCCCCCCCCCCGGACCCTCCCCTCCCCAGCTCTATATGTAGACACTCATCCACCCCTACTTCCTCTGGCCAGACACCAAATCTCAACCAAACTTCAGAAGTTAGGTGAAGTCAGAGATTATAATCAAATTCTCATGACTAGTATTTCTCATCTAGGACAGTCTATTTAAAACGATATTTATTTCATGGAGCCAATTTTTAAAGAGCCGAGGTGCCTAACAGTTTGAGGTCTTAGCATTTGCATCTAAAGTGCACCGGAAGAGCATCGGAATGAGACCATACCAGGCAGCCCACAGAAAGCAGCATGTGAAGCAACACAATCGTCACAATTGTGGCCAATGCGATGCGTCGGTTGTCCTCACGAACTGCTGGCCAAAATGTCATTGCCAAGACAGAGCCTGAGATGCCCAGGGCAATCATAACTAGAATCCAGCGGACCACTTTCTGGGGGATGATCCACAGTATCTGAAAGAAAAGGAGGGCGGGGAGGGCTTGGGGGAGGCACTCAGCGAGGCATTTGTTCGTTCCAGGCACACGTGTTCATAAAGGCCCAGGAGCCTGTCAGCAGCTGGGCCTTCACTGCCACTCGGGTTTCCCAGAACAGCCCAGAGAAACGCCACCAGCGTGCAGACTGAGGGGAACGCTTTCCTAACAAAGGGCTCAAGATCCAGGGAAAGCGCTTGGCTCCCCGGCCTCCATTCCCACTAAACTTCTAAATTCAAGGGGTATTTTTCAGATGCACATCAGTGTTAGGCTAGAAATAATGATGCTGGTTGAATTTTCCACTAAGAACAGGGCCTCACTCAGAATCAGCGTGGTACTTACCGCTGTGGGGATATAAATGAAGAGTGAATATCCATAGACGCACACAATCTCCAAGAATGAATAGGAAACGATGTTCATAACTTTACTGTTTCTCCACACAAGGAAACCCCAGAGTGCAAGAGGAACCAGCCAGGCATAGGCATAGATGATTGTGGCTGCGATGGACACTGAGGGCGAGAGGACACAAGTTTTAATTCCACCATGCCTTTAATGCACTGTCACGGCACTTCTGGTACCTGCTGGACTTACTCCCTGCAGGAGTGTCCACCTGCCTCACTGGATCAGGGGATCGTGTCTTACTGCTCTCAACCCCTGAGCCTGGCACAGTACCCAACAAGCAGTAGGTGCTCTATAAATGTGCTGAATCCATGCCCCTTTAGCATTTGTGTTTGTGGTGATGACCCGTAGTCTTTCCTATGGCTTCTATAATTCACTTAATTACTAACAACTAATAGTATTAAACAACTGAATTATGCAACTGAAATACTTCCGAGGGCCACACTGCAAGTGTTTAAATACACAGAACATTTCAATCAAATACAAGTCAACTATCCCCTTGGAAGAACACATCTTCCTTCCTAATATAACAAGAGCTGACACTGATTTCTTTAGCAAATTTACGAAAATGACCTGGGTTCAGATTAACTTGTTCTACGTGCTACTCAGAGTTCCTTCTGTCTCTGAAACAGGGAGTTCCAGCTCACCGATGAATTGCTTGGAATAGTCTCCAGTTCCACTTTCTTCTTTAAATAGTTCGGTCTCTGTGGTGGAAATGCTACTTAGCGGCTCCTCAGAGGAGCAATGCTCAGTGTATTACTTACTGTCCCTCCCTCCCCCTCCTCTAGCAGCACGCCCTAGAGGATTCGTCCTCCCTCTTCTGGAGTGGAGGATCATAAGCGGCTCAGTCCGCAACACCAGCCCTTCCCAGATGAAAGTCACCAGGTAATCCACTGAACGCTCTTGGCAAGAACAAAGGCACTCCTAGCAACTACAGTCAGACTCTGGGTAAGATATGTGACTGTCCAAAACATTTTCAGCTCCCAGAGCAGTTTTTTTCACATGGGGAACTCCAGCATTAAGCCAAATGTAATTCTGCTGATATACTGCCTTTTTCTTGAATAACTAAAGGGAGGGGAAGGGAACTGCTACAGTGACTACAGCTGTCCACTGGGTGTCAGGCATTACACTGAGTGCTTTACTGAGAGGTAACGTTGTTCAACAGTCAGAGCTACAGACTGTATATGCAGACTCTTATCCTAGCTCTGCCAATTACAGTTGAGTAGACCTGGGTGGTGAGTTACTTAAACTTCCTGCCTCTCATCTGTAAAATGGGAATAATAATAGTACACTACCTTATAAGATTACTAGGAGAATTCAATGAGTAAAAACACGTATATTTAGAACACTGATTGATAAATAATAAATGCCCAATCAAGAATAACCTTTTTATATTGTTAACTTGTATATAAACACATTATTTCATATAATCTATATCTTTACTTTAGAGATGAGGAAACAGGATCAGAGAACTAAGTCGTTTGGTTAGGGTCAAATAATTAATAAGTGGTAGAAGCGGGACATGACCTTGGATGTGTGACTTATAATCTTTGCATAAAATGGAAAAATATTTATTGATCGAGTCAACGACTATCTTACTGGCACATACATCCCATGACTCCCACTGGGATGCCCAGCCAAACAGGATAAGAACAGACAAGGACCCCTGACCTCTGCCCTCCCCGCTCCCCCCACAGCTTCCACACCCTCAGGTAGGGTGATTCACTCCTCTTCTCTGTCAATATACCTCTACAGACTTCTGATATAGAAATTAACACATACCATTTATTACAGCAATATCCATTTACCTGTTTTTCTTTACTTAACCACTGAGCTACTTGAAGGCATATTGATAGTTCATGGATAACATTTATTGAGTTAAATTTAAACCAAGGTTACTTGACAAATGGAGTTGGGACTGAATCCAGGTCTGACTCCATAATGGAGGAGAGAAGAAGGGAAAATGGGTATGGAGGGTAGAGGGGACGAAAGGAAGGCTACATGGACATACACACAGGTAAATACATTTCTCTACAGACACACAGATATGTGTACATACATATATAGCAATAGTTAATTTTACTGAACTCTTTTTGTACAAGGCACTATTCTAACCTCTTTACATACATCACTTCTTTATTCTTACAAGAGCGCTATAATATAGGTATTCTTATTCGCATTTCGCTGATAAGGAATCTGAGGCCAAGAGAGATGAAATAATTTGCCCAGCAAGGTAGAAGCTAGTGAATGGTGGAGCTGGAACCTGAAGCCGATGGCCTGGTTCCCGAGCCCATGCTCTTATACAGCCTTTCAACAGGAGAGCAGGCCAGAAGGGACGGAGGGAGGGAAGGAGAGAATGGAGAAAGTGGCACAGGCCAATCTCCTGCAGAGCCAAACACCTCCAACTTGGGGTGGCTGACATCTGCAAATCCCTCAAAGCTGTTTGGTTTTTTTTCCCCAGCTATCCAATACTGCCACAAGAAAGGACGTTTTAAAATAAGCACGTCATCCACAAGCCCATCACTAGGACACATTCACTTCTGCATTCTCCCTCCTGGGCCCTGACCATTTGTAAACTTCTCTTTAACAAAGCTGCTAACAGCACTGGCCTAAGTTTGTTTTTTTATTTTGTGTGTGGTACGCGGGCCTCTCACTGTTGTGGTCTCTCCCGTTGCGGAGCACGGGCACCGGACACGCAGGCTCAGCGGCCATGGTTCACGGGCCCAGCCGCTCCGCGGCATGTGGGATCTTCCCAGACCAGGGCACAAACCCGTGTCCCCTGCATCAGCAGACGGACTCTCAACCACTGTGCCACCAGGGAAGCCCCCGGCCTAAGTGTGGATTATGAGTTTTCCATGTTGCTCTAAGTGCTTCATAATTAATGGCTACAGACCCAGCTAGCTGAGTCATCATGCCTTAAATAACAATGCCCCTATTGTTTCCAACATTTGGATAATACAAATAATGCTACAGTGGAGACTTTCATGCACACTGCTTTTTACTTATTTTGTACATTTTTCTTTGGATAAATTCCGATTGCTATGGGGTCTTGCCTTACCGTTTTCCAAGAGTATATGGATTCACAATATTGAATATACTTAATGCCACTGAACTACACACTTAAAAATGGTTAAAATGGTACATTGTAGGTTATATATATTTTACCACAATAGAAAATAAAACGACTATGTGGATTTATATAGACGGGTGATTAATTTTGAGCCCTTAAATACAGAAAAAAAAGGGCTGCAGGACCTACAGACAGGGGTCTAAGAGCTCAGTGGGTAGAAAGAACTCACGGTTACCAACGAACAGCATTCCAAATGAGTCAAGCTATTCACCAACCTTTTCGGAATTCGGGCACATAATGGTATGTCTTCCTTCCCAGATGGATTAAGAAGTTGGAAAGATTCCCACTAATTGCTATGGCAAAGACCAACGTGGCACATATCCAAAAGGGGCCTGCAAAGCAAACCAGAAAATTCAGACAAGTAAATGAAGAGCCAGCTTTTAGGCTCTCACAAAATAATTTCTTATCTCCCTCATCCTATTCATGTGAGGTGAATATGAATTTTAGATGGAATCTAAAGGGAAGGGAAAAGGAATTTTAGATGGAATCAGTACTCGTTTAGTGGAGATTTTCTTTTTTAAAAGGTCAAACATGCAACTCAGTAATTAGCTGCCTTAAAGACAAGGGGGATTGAAATGCACAGACCAAAACACCTTCCATGATTAGATGAATAAAGACACTGATTTGCTTATAGTTTCTTTTATTGGAGTATCATCAAAAAAAATTTATGGACATTTTGTTAAACCTTCACCATCAGGATACAGGAAGCAAAGGTTATTTCCTTTACATAAGTACCAAATGTTAATGCCAGAGAAAAATATTTTAAATCAGATAGGTCCTTTGTTGTCTAAATGGAAGAGTAGGGCAAGCAGAACACTTTAGGAAAGGGTTCATTTAATCTAACAAATCACCGTGTATGTGTATGTGCGTCTTTATTTTTTTCTTTCTTGCTTTAATCAAAAAGTAATACATGCACATAGTTCAGTGTTCAAAAGGCACAAAAAGGGAATATAGAGAAAAGTAAGATTCCTTTCCTCTCTGTTCCCTAGCTATGCATTTTGCTTCCACAGAGCTCACCGCTGTAACCAGTTTCTGGTGAATCCTGCCAGAGATTCCTATACACATATAAGCAAATGCATATTTGTGTATGTGTATGTGTGTGTGTGTGTGTGTGTGTGCGCGCACGCACTTTATACAAACGCTAACAAGCATATGTATTTCCACCTTATTATGTTCTGGAGATTCTACTATAGCTATACATAAAAATCAACTAATTCTTTTTTAGTGATTATAAAAAATTCCGCTAAGTGGATGAGTGCACCATGCTTTGTAAATCCCTTTCATTATTTCGCTTGATTTCATGAACACCATCCTTGTTTCTCCCCATCTAGAAAAAGGACTATTAGAACAAATACAATTTTTAAATTTAGAGATTTTAATACATTTTATGAATTTCATTTTTCAATTTCACTAATATTCTGCAATATCTTTTGGGATAACTGCAGGCACCTTGACATATAAAATTAAGAAAATTATTGTGTTGGGGGAGATGACTAGCAGAAATGCGTGAGCACTTTTCGAAGTCAAGTTGCTTCCTTAAGGTGGGAAAGGGAGTGCAAGCACTTGACTGGGAGGCTCCAGAGAGCCACCAACATCAGCTTCCCAAGGAGTGCCATTTACTCACTAGCCTGCAGGCGCTCTGATATAGCCAAGGATTTGATCCTGTTCACTGTATTATTCTGATATTATTCTGAGTGACTAACACATAAAATATTTAACAACAACAACAAAAAAAAAACCCTACAACCAACAACAATAATTTAAAAATCCCCAAAAGCTTTACTGAACAAATGAACAAAACTGACGTGCTGTTGATGGGCTGAGACCATCAAAGCATGCGACCACAAGCGGTCAAAATATTATATAGTACCCATAACTAGAAAGCAGAGACTATCGGATCCTGTTAGCCATTATTTACTAAATACCTACTATCCTCTGGGCCCTGGGCTGGTGCTGGGGACACAGTGATGTGTGACAGACACAGTTGCTGCCTCTGGTGCACTCAGGCACAAAGGAAGCTTGGCCTCTAGAGAAACACAACCACCTGCTTGGCCTCTAGAGAAACACAACCACCAGGCCTGCCACAATGCTTCATTCTGTCTTCTTTCTTCCTTGTTCCTGCCAAATTCCTACTCTAATTATGGGGTGGGGTGGGAGGGAGCGTTAATTTAGTTTGTGTTGTGCATTTTATGTTATAAAATATTTCTAACATACAGAAAAGCCCAAAAATGATAAAACAAACACTGGTATACCCATCATGCCTCTTTTTCAAATCTTTCTAATGCTGTCATACTACTTATATCCTTTTACAACATGCTTTTTTTTTAATTGACTATCGTTCTGAGATGTATCCACGTTGATGCTTATAGATCACATTCATTTCTAAAACCTACAAAATTCTGTACATGAACACACCATCATTTACCGATCCATGCTCCTGCTGATGAATATTTTGGTCATTTCTAAATATTTGCTATTACAAGCAATGCTGAGGTAATGAATAATAATATTCCTCTACATGCCTTCTTGTATATATGTGAGTTTCACTAAGACTATTCATCTAGGAGTAGAACTGCTAAGTTGTAGGGTATGAGCATCTTCAAACTGCTCCAATTTGTGGCACCAGTTACATACCCACCCACATTATACAAAAGTTCCCCTTGCTCCACATTCTTGGCAATAGTTGGTATCAATGTTTATGAAAAGCTGACTTAGAGTAGGTCATTCCTCTGTTCAGACCCTTCGATGGCATCTCACTCAAGCAAAAGCCAAAGTCTTCACTTGCTTACAAGACCCTACATGATGTGCCCCCCTCCACACTGTCCCTCTGACCTCAGCCACTAGACACCCTTGTTCACTTTGGCCCAGTCACACTAGACTCTTCACTGTTCTTTGAGCACATGAGGCAAGTTCCTGCCCCAGGGCCTTTGCACGTGCTGAGCTCTCTGTTTCAAATGCTCTTCCCTGAGATACCTATATGTATTGCTCCCAATTCCTTCAGGTATTTACTCAAATAAATTTTAAAAGTTTTTAAATTTCAAATCCACCCACCTACACAAACATTTACTGTCTTTCTTCTCTGCTTTTAAATGTTCACCTTAGCATTTATCACTAGCACACTATGTGTTGATATTTTACCTATTTTCTTTGTCTATTGTTAAACTTAGATTATAAACTCCCTCAGGGCAGGGATTTTTGTGTGTTATTTACTACTGTACCTCCAGTGCCTAGAAGAGTAAGTGTTCCGTGTTTGTTGAATTAATTGAATGAATGAATGAAGACAAGCCAATTTGTATGCTTCCTAAAATAATGGACATAAATAATATCCTGTTTAATTTTTTACTTCAGGTAGGGATAACTATCTTTTCCTATATTTATTGGCCATTTGGGTTTCCTTTTCTGTGAATTGCTCATTTTCCCCCAGAACTTATACTTGGTTTTATTCTCATAATCGGTAGGCATCCTACATGTACACTTGCTTTGCATCCTTTGTGGGTTATGTGCATTGAAATATTATCTCTGGTCTGTGGTTTATTTATTTATTTTTTACCTTGCTTATGGTTTATTTTGTGGTGTAGAAATTTTTATTTTTTTGGCTGTGTTAGATCTTCGTTGCTGTGCATGGGCTTTAGTTGCAGTGAGCGGGGGCTACTCTTCGATGTGGTGCGCGGGCTTCTCATTGCAGTGGCTTCTCTTGTTGCGGAGCATGGGCTCTAGGCGTGCAGGCTTCAGTAGTTGTGGCAGGTGGGCTCAGTAGTTGTGGCTTGCGGGCTCTAGAGCTCAGGCTCAGTAGCTGTGGCGCACGGGCTTAGCTGCTCCGCGGCATGTGGGATCTTCCCGGGCCAGGGCTCGAACCCGTGTCCCTTGCATCGGCAGGCAGATTCTTAACCACTGCACTACCAGGGAAGCCCAGAAATTTTAAATTTTAGTTTAAATGTAGTCAAATTCATCAGTCTTTCCCTCAGATTCTGCAGACTGGCTCTTCTGTCATCTTGTTCCTGACCATTTTCCTCCAACCCAACCCACGAGGCCCAGCCCTCTCTGCTAGAAAACACTTTACCGAGATTGTACCTTCTTTTTTTAACCATGTCTATGGGCTCATGAGATTAGTAGTGCTGTGGGAAGAAGGATGCTTTGGGTTTGTATCCTGGCCTTGTCACGAGAGACAGCCAAACACAGTGATGAAGAATATGGATTACGAGCTACAGTACTGATTTGAATCCTCCGCCACTTACTAGCTGCGTGATCTTAGGCCAGTTGTTAGACTTCTATGCGACACAGTGTCCTCATCTATACAGTGGGGATAATAATAGTACCTACCTCATAAAGTTGGGGCTATTATGAGGATTACATGAGTTAATACAGGTTGTTCCCTAATGACAGTGTCTGGAATATATCAAGCATTCTATGTGTGTTTGCTCTTACTGTTGCTGTTGTTGTTGTTGCTAACTCTGTGATTATGGGCAGGCTGTCCTCCCCGAACCTCAATTTTTCTCTTTTGTAAGATAAGGCTACCTTGGAGCGTGGGAAATAAAACAGTGTAACACAGTAAAACAGTGCTGAACTCCATGCTTGGCACCTGTTAGGTGCTCAGCAAACGCTGGGTCCCTCTCTTCTTTCTCCTTGGGGATGGAGATCATGACTTTATCTTTGAATCCTCAGTCTCTAGCACAAAATAAGGTGCTCAAAAACTGTTTGAGTACCTACTCTGCACCAAGCCCTCTGCCAGGTGCTGACGACGTGGATTCCTCAGACACAGAATCTGCTTCTCAAGAAGTTCTCAGGTTAGAAGTAAGGATGAATGAGAGCTAGAAAGAAATGCCACCTTGGCAACCTTTAACTGAGAGGCCTGGGCCAAGGCAATGGTTTTCACACTATGCTCACTGGAGCTCCAGCAATTCCATGGACATCTGGATGGAACTTCTGTGTCTGTCCCTGAGGGAGGAAGCTGAGTGGAAGGGAGACTTTCCTCAACCTCCATCAGAGCTGCTCCACTTTGACTGGTTTTAAATATTGGACATCCGTGCCATTTGATGAAAAGGTTCTGTAGCTTGAAAACACCGGTCTAATAGAATAAATGGGGGCTTTTACATAAAACTGAACTAGGAGCTAGTTCTACTTTTTTTTTTGGGGGGGGGCCATGCTGTGCAATTTGCGGGATCTTAGTTCCAGGAACTGAACCCGTGGCCCCTGCAGTGGAAGCTCAGAGTCCTAACCACTGGACCACCAGGGAATTCCCTACTTTTACTTTTTAACTGATGTATAGTTGATTTACAATATTACGTAAGTTTCAAGTGTACAACACAGTGAGTCACAATTTTTAAAGGTTACATTCCATTTATAGTTATTATAAAATATTTGCTATATTCCCTGTGCTGCATAGTATATCCTTATAGCTTATTTATTTTATACTTAACTAGTTTGTACCTCTTAATCCCCTACCCCTTATCTTGCCCCTCCTCCCTTCCCTCTACCCACTGGTGACTACTAGTTTGTTCTCTATATCTGTGAGTCTGTATCTTTTTTGTTAGATTCGCTAGTTTGTTTTAGTGTTTAGATTCCACATATAAGTGATACCATATAGCATTTGTCTTTCTCTGTCTGACATATCTCACTAAGCATTAACACCCTCCAAGTTCATCCATGATGTCTCAAATCCCAGTTTTAGTTTTTCTCACATGGAAAACAGGGATAAGAGTACTTAATACATAGTCTTGTTGAAAAGGATTAAAGAGTGTGTGTAGCGATTGGCACACAATAGATTCTCCCGAACTCCTTTTCCTCTTATAATCAACAAGTATAATCACTCTAAAACTTAATGTTTAGGATTGAGCATATATATTACTGAACCCCACTGAGCACCAGCTTCCTCTTTTGAAAAACGGGGATAATAATACCTACCCAAAGGTTGATGCAAGAATTAAGTGTGCCCGTGTGCACCAAGTCTTTCGTACAGCACCTGCAAACAGAAGCACTCAGAGCCGCCGGCTCTCTTCTCCCCTCAAACACAGGCCACCGTTGTTGGAACCCTTTCCTTCAGGATCACTGGATGGACCTCTGATCCCTTCTCGGATAGCAGGGAGGTCGGAATCACATTATCCCCTGGCCCATCCTCTTACAGACTTTCAAGGGGAAGCCAGCCTGTGCAGAGCTGGAACTCAGCACATCATGAATAAGCATGAGAGAAGCTCCTCCACACTCACCCCCACCACGAAATCCTCTAAAATTAAAATCAACGATCTCCTCTTACACAAGTGACTTAATTTGTCTTGAATTTGTAATGTCATTTGAAGACTTTCAAAGGACATACTATTACTTGTCATCAGCGCATTAATAGAAATACAATTGCATTTTCTCCAAATTCTTTGCAACAGTTGCTACCAAAGCTCAAAAGAGTCAAATAAAACACCACATGCCCCACCAACAGTGCACTTCTCTGACTTTCCAGGCAACCCGCACACTCACCTGGGCTTAGCTGGGACATGGAAAAGAATCAAAACAGCACTACACATACCATAGAGATCTGGGTTGCTGCGGATATACAACCTCACAAAGTTTTTTCCTGGTATTGGCAAAAGAGACCCCTTTATTCTGTCAAAGACCTGCAAAACAGCACAGCAGTTAAGTCTACTGAAGATTTTTTTTCTTAAAGTTTAATAAGTTTGCACTGCAAAACTGAAACTCAGTGATTAGAGCTTTATTATTTATTTAGTATTTTTTTATTATTTCATTTAGTATTTCCAAATGCTAATTGACCTTTTACTTTTGAAGACCATATCCAGTATACAAAACCTTTCACGTTACTCGATTGTTTAACCATAGAAGGAACAAGTCTGCATTATACGACAAAAGAAAGGTAAATCTGGATTACAAACCTGGTAAGTGTCTACATCAAAGAATGTTTGATAGTATTCAAATGTCCAGAAGGGGGAGCTTTTCTTCTGTCCAGCAAGTAACTGTCAGAGGTAAAATAAAAAACGTAATGAACACAGAAGCAATTTCCTTATTCTAGCTACCCAGAGAAAGAGAGAGGGTCTAATGGAAAATCAAGATGTACGAAAGACAAAACTCTTCTGCATTCATCAATCAATTTTACCACAGCCATGCCCAATTCTCAGCCTGACATAAAAGCATCAGTTCTGAAGACACACCAAAAGGTTTCAAATCCTGGTCCCTTCACTAGGGGATGGCTTCATCAAATCACTAGACTCATCTCAGTCTTCCTTATCTAAAAAGTACAGGTGGGCTTCCCTGGTGGCGCAGTGGTTGAGAGTCCGCCTGCCGATGCAGGGGACGCGGGTTCGTGCCCCGGTCCGGGAGGATCCCACATGCCGCAGAGTGGCTGGGCCCGTAAGCCATGGCCGCTGAGCCTGCGCGTCTGGAGCCTGTGCTCCGCAACGGGAGAGGCCACAACAGTGAGAGGCCCGTGTACCGCAAAAAAATATATAAAATAATTTTAAAAATAAAAAGTACAGGTAACAAGATCTACCTTATAGGATAATAGGAAGGACTAGCTTAATTACTATGCAAAACAACATATATATGTATATACACACACACAAACACGTACCTACAGAAGGCAGTCAGTGTAAATATCTTTTCCCCTTCCTCCGCTTCAACATCCTCACTACTATCACCACCTGAATTCTCAAAAATCTGATATACTGACTCGCTCTAAAGAATTAAAAACTTAAAATATACTGCTCTAACAAAAAACCAAAATTCCTATTTAGAAGAGGCGCGCTAGGAGGGCCACGCCTGTACCAAGAGCACAGCTCTCTACAGAAAAATACACGCCCCATGCCAGGAAGTGTGACTGCCATCCTCAGATATCTGAAGAGGATTCATACAGCAAAAAGTACAGATGCACTCTAAGGACCTTTGCAAGACGAGGGAAGGTACTATAGGCAGATATTTTTTGTTCACTATAAAGGAAAAATTTTCCACCATTAAAGTTTTCCAAAAGTGGTAGGGGCTGCTTTACACGGTCATGAGCAGCCTGCTCCTAGAGGTATTCAGGTGTTGTCTTTCTGACATACCACGGAGAGCATTAATATCTTGAGAGGGAAGCTGAAATACAGTAAGTCCCCTGTATACGAACAAGTTCCATGCCGAGAGTGCGTTTGGAAATCCAATTTGTTCCTAAGTCCAACAAAGTTAGCCTAGGTGCCCAACGAACACAATCGCTATACAGTACTGCACTGTAATAGGTTTATAATACTTTTCACACAAATACATGAAAAACAAACACAAAAAATAAAACTTTTTTTTTTTTTTGCGGTACACGGGGCTCTCACTGTTGTGGCCTCTCCCGTTGCGGAGCACAGGCTCTGGACGTGCAGGCTCAGCGGCCATGGCTCACGGGCCCAGCCGCTCCGCGGCATGTGGGATCTTCCCGGACGGGGGCACGAACCCGTGTCCCCTGCGTTGGCAGGCGGACTCTCAACCACTGTGCCACCAGGGAAGCCCAAGAAAACATTTTTAATCTTACAGTCCAGTACCTTGAAAAGTACAGTAGTGCAGTACAACAGCTGGCATACAGGGGCTGGCACTGAGTGAACAGGCAAGAAGAGTTACTGACTGGAGGAGGGAGAGGTGGGAGATGGTAGAGCTGAAGGATCTTCAGCAACAGGACACGGAGGGCAAGGTGCAATTTCACTCACTCCTGCCACTGATGGCACAGGTTCTGGTTCCTTGCTGGATTCAATTCTATCTACCCTCTTAAAAAAACGATCCAGTGATGTCTGGGTAGTACTGTACAAGCTATATCACCGCTGCTTTTACGCTTGCTTGTGGACATCCTGGGCTTGAAATAAAGATACTGTACTCTATACAGTACTGTAAAGTTCACAAAAGCACAAACACTTGTAGAGGATGCACACATGTGACAATGTACGCCAGACACATGAACTTACATGACTGGACATGCGAACACACGTTCGAATCTTTGAAAGTTTGCAACTTGAAGGTTCGTATGTAGGGGACTTATTGTAGAGGAAACTGTAGATTCTTTCCAACTCTAATATTGCAAGATACTGAACACCAGAGACCCATGTTCCATAAGCTAGGTCAAGAAATTCTGTCACTATCATAGAATATTGGTAACCTCTTCCCGATTCCCTGACAAAATTGAGATAATGGATATAATGTTTTCAGTTTTAAGATTTTTTCCCCCATACATTTCTTCTTAAACTTTTGATGGCTGCTGTTGTTCCGTGTGATGGTAAATTTTATGTGTCAACTTGGCTGGGCCATGATGCCAGATATTTGATCAAACATTGTTCTGGATGTTTCTGTAAGGGTGTTTTTGAATGAGCTTTACATTTAAATTGGTGGACTTTTTGAATAAAGCAGATTGCCCTCCATAATATGGGTGGACCACAGCCAATCAGGTGAAGGCCTGAATAGAACCAAAGGCTGTGACCCCCTGAGCAAGAGGGACTCCTCCAGCAGATGCCCTCAGACTTCAACTGCAATATCAGCTCTTCCTACTTCTCCAGCACAATGCCTTTGGATTCAAATTCTCTTTCCTGAGTCTCCAGCCTGCCAGCATCCTCCATCAGATTTTGGACTCACCAAGCATCCACAATCATGTGAACCAATTTTAAAAAAAAGTAAATCTCTTTCTCTACATATACATATCCTATTGATCTATTTCTCTGAAGAACCGCAACTAATTAATACGCTCAGTTATACTAAAAATCATTCCTGTATCCTGAGGGTGCCAACAATTTTGATAAGCACTTACCATACACTACTCTAATACAGAGGGACTCAGAGTGCCTTGCTTTAAAGTTCCATCTGCACCTGCCAGTTGTGTGTCCTGGGGCAAAAGTCACTTAAATTCTGTGCCTCCGGTTTCTCATTTACAAAATGAAGCTGAGAATAGTTCCTTGCATAGGGTTGTTTTAAGCATTAAATGAGATGATCCAAGTAAGGAACTTTAAATGGTACCTGGCAGCTATTAAACACTGAATAAATATTAGCTGTTGTGATGATAATGACGACAATAGTCAGTATACTATTTTCTTATATTTCCAATGAGGAAATCAGGTTTAGGGAAATTAAAGTACCTTATCCAAGACCACAGAGCTATTACTACTGGCCAGACCTGGATTCAAACTCAGGCTCCTAAGTCTGAGCTCTTGCCACAATATCTAGTACACAATGCTATTTAATTTGACAGATACTTTGGTACTTATTTTGATATTTCATGGAGTTCCACGAAGAGCACTTGCCACTCCACTATTTCATGAGCCTGTGAACACACTGCTATAAACTGAGTACTCCTCTAGTGAATCACGATCATGATCCATTTATAAAATATTACTAGAAATACTGTTTTTCTGGAATGCACCGACAGTGTACATGGAAGTAAATTTTTGTGATCAAAAACAGCTCTGATATTCAAAATTCAACCGGATGCAGAAACCTAGAACTCTCCATAGAATCCTCCCTCTCTTCCTCACCCCTTTTCCACCAAGTCCTAGTGAGCCCATCTGCTAAACATCTGTATCCAGTTCTAGTTCAGGCCACTTCACCAGTCTCCTACCTGGTTTTCTGGCCTCTAGTCCGTCTCCCACCAACTCATACTCCACAGGGCCACTGTATCTTAAAACATCTTTAAACGTATCTGGTCATATTGTTTAAAATCTTTCAATGGCTCCCAACAGTTTTCAGAATACAATTCATACTCAGAGGGTTGAGTCCTTGCCTATCTGTGAGCCTCATCTCCTGTCTCCACCTATATTTTGCTCCCAATGTACATGAAGATGGAAGATGTGCTTTCTGTACCATGTTCCTTCATGCCTCTGTGACTTCACCAAAACTGTTCCCTTTGCCCAGATCACCTTCCACACCTTCTTCCTGGGTTCTCCTATTCTTTCAACAAGATTCAGTTTAAATGTCACTGCCTCCAGGAAGCCTTCTGTAACCCCCTTGTCTCTGCTCCCACAACCCCAGCATGCTTCCCATGGGTAACAATGGTCTGTTCGCTTGTCTGTTTCTCCCCCAAGGCAGATTTACCTCGATTTACATGATTTACCTTCGTGTCGTCACTGCTTGGCATTCTACCCGGCACACAGGAGACAGTGAATAAATGCATGAGCGAGGTTTTTAAAAGTTAAAAGAGTAAGCTGGGACGAAGTGAGATAGTGGCATAGACTTATATACACTACCAAATGTAAAATAGATAGCTAGTGGGAAGCAGCTGCATAGCACAGGGAGATCAGCTTGGTGCTTTGTGACCACCTAGAGGGATGGGATAGGGCAGGTGGGAGGGAGATGCAAGAGGGGGGAGATATGGGGATATATGTATGTGTATAGCTGATTCACTTTGTTATAAAGCAGAAACTAACACACCATTGTAAAGCAATTATACTCCAATAAAGATGTTAAAAAAAAAGTTAAAAGAAAGAAACAATTTAAAAGACAAGTTCAAACCTCAGTTTTATCAGAGTCATCATTTCCTAGTAACTCATCATCCTCTTCTCTCCCTGAGCCTCCTGGGGGTCCTGGCTGGTGTTTTGGGGTTTCACCAGGATCCTCGATGCTTATTGTGGTGGCATCTGGGTTTGCTGCTAGAGAAGTGGCTGTATCACCAAATTCTGAAATCAATTAGCGTACAAGGGTATCAGTGACCTTACCCACACTGGAAATGCCTTTTTTTTTTTTTTTTTTCCGGTACGCGGGCCTCTCACTGTTGTCGCCTCTCCCGTTGCGGAGCGCAGGCTCAGCGGCCATGGCTCACGGGCCCAGCCGCTCCGCGGCATGTGGGATCTTCCCGGACCGGGGGACGAACCCGTGTCCCCTGCATCGGCAGGCGGACTCTCAACCACTGCGCCACCAGGGAAGCCCATGCCATACTTTTAATTTAAAGACAAGCTGTTACAACCTCAGCTTTGCTACAGACCCTACCTGAGACAAGTGGCAAAAGGCTCTGAAAAAAATCTCATCTAGAAATCAAGCTGACAAAGAAAAATGATTATGAAAACAACAGAATTTGAAGTCAGACCAGAATTTTAGTCCTGGCTCAGTTACTTACTAAGTATTTAAGCCTGAGTAAGTAACTTAACCTCTATAAGCTTCAGTGTTCTCATCTATACGATGGGGAGAATAATATTTATTTTCAGGAATTTTGGGAAAGTTAGGAATATTACTTAAGTAAAGCCCTTAGCAGAGTGCCTGGCCCGTAGCAAGTAACCAATCTAACCCTCTCTTCTTTGATTCAAGTTCAAAAAAACTTAATGGAAGTTACTTTTTCCAATAAGTCCTATGTAATCACTACAGAAAACACAAGGACAAAAATGAAAGTAGAAGGCTTCCCTGGTGGCGCAGTGGTTGAGAGTCCGCCTGCCGATGCAGGGGACGCGGGTTCGTGCCCCGGTCCGGGAAGATCCCACATGCCGCAGAGCAGCTAGGCCCGTGAGCCATGGCTGCTGAGCCTGCGCTCCGCAACGGGAGAGGCAAAAAAAGGGAGAGGGCCGCAAAAAAAAAAAAAAAAAAAAAAAAAAAAAAAAAAGAAAATAGAAACAACAGAATAAAAATCACTCTTAGTCCCATCCACATAAAAGCAAGCACTATTAACTTTTGGTATATTTCCTTTTCTCTATAGAGTAGATTCATGCCAGTGATGATTGTTCACTCAACAAATATTTACTGCGTGCCTACAGTGTACCAAGTACTGATTTAGGATGTGACAGTACTATGTAAACAATGTTGTACCCTGCCCCATCTGCCAGGGATTATATAAAAAATTATTTTTTTCATATTATATCGGTCTTTAAAATGACCAGTTACGTGGCTACATAACAGTTCATCAGCTGGAGGTGGGAACAGTAGGAGAGAGACACCCCAAGTTAACACAATTATTCCACTGTTATTGGATGTTTGGGTGCTTTTCGTTTTTCATTAGTACAAATAACACAGTAAGGGGCATCTGTGAGGAGAAAGCTTTTGGGGTTATTGCCTTAGTATGAACACTATCAGTGTGATCACCAGGTCAAAGGGTGCAGACCATTTTGAAGGCTCTTGAGCCATACTGCTAAACTGTTCTCCAAAAGAACCTCACCTATTCATGTCCACCAGCAATGATTGTGACTTCTGTCTCTGGGCATCCTAACAAACTTTATTTAGCTGCTCTTAGATAAAATTTAGGGCAGCTGTGGAATTTGGCAGGACTCAGGAAGGAGGCCAGCAGGGCACCAATGTAACACAACAATCATGGCAGCAGGATGGGGCTCTTGGATAATCGAGCCCAATCTTACTGCCTTTCAGCTACGCAAATAGTTTTATGGAGAGAATTAAAGTGACTGAAGTTAATAAGGTGGCTGATCCGTAACAACTACTCAAGCTTCAGTGTCCCATGTACTGGCAGCATGAGGCTCTGGAATGAGAGGGCCCTCTGTTTAAGATAAGACTCTAGCACTCCATGACCTTGGGCAAATCACTCCGTATCTCTGAGTCTCTGTTTCTTCAACTATAAAAAGTAGAAAATACTTATCTCGCAGAGAGATTTTGAGGATGATATGAGATAATAAATACTGTTATTGCTATCATTTACTGACTGGACAGGGCACTGACATTTAAAAAGATGGTTATAACTTTGCCTGAGGGAATCAGTCCAAGGAAGATATATTTAAGTTTCATATTTTAAAAACAGTAGTTTACCAGGGGACATGACATGCCAGAAGGAGGAACAGAGAGTGTCACTTTAGAGGTATCAAGTCCAAAGAGGTTCGAGAGATGATAATTCATCTAGTTGATGGGATTAGGAAAGGCTACTTGGAAAAGGTGCCGTATGAGAAGGATGGCCAGAAGCAGTGGGGATGGCATCTCAGGCAAAGAGTATGGGATGAGCAAGACCCAGAAGACAGAAAATGTGTTCCGTGTGTGAAGAACAGCAGATGGAAAGTCTGATTTTAATGTAGGATGTGTGTACCTCGCACATGACTATTCACATATTCTGCTCTGTATTAGTTATTCTTGTCCATCTCAGTGCCTTGAGGGCAAGACGTTGTGTTTTGCCTCTGTTCCTTTCCTGACACAATGTCTCCCACCTGCAGGGCCCTGACCTTCACGTTTTCATTTAACACTACCATTTTTCCCCGGAGAAGCTTTCCATGACCCCCACAGCACCCTGTGTTCTTTTCTAAAGAGCCAAGTCTTTAACATGGTGGAGAAAGTCCTGCGTGACTTGGCTCCTGCTTCCTCTCAAACCTCACCTTGTGACAGGCCTCCCCCACCAACTGTGCTCTGGTACTCTGGCCTTCTTTTAATTCCTTGGGAAAGAAAATGAAACAGACTTCCTCCCTTCTCAAGTACTCTGCACGTGCTGTTCTTTACACTTGAACTTTCTTGCACTGTACTCCCAGATAGGATGACCAAGGAAGGCCTCTGGAATGAAGTGAGATTTAAGCAAAGCAAGGGAACAAGCCATGTGGCTATCTGGACTAAGAATGTCCCAAACAGAAGGATGGCTCAAAGGCCCTAAGCTGTTAGTGTACCTGGCATCTAGGAGGGACAGTGATGAGGCCCATGTGGGTAGGCAGAGAGAAAGGGCTAGAGTAGCAGGAGATGAAATCAGAGGCAGTGGAGGCCTGGATCATGTAGGGCCTCCTAAGCACAGAAAGGGCTCTGCCTTCCACTCCTAGTGAGATGGGAGCCACTGGAAGTTTTAGAAGGAATGACGTGATCTGACTTGGTTTTAAAGGTCTACTCTGGCTGCAAAATACAGACTGTAGGGGGGTAAGGGAGGATGCAGGAAGACCTGAAGGAAGGTAAGGGCTATAATCCAGACATAAGGTGATGGTGACCTTGAGCACGGTGGGACAGCGGTAGAGGTGGCGAGAAGTTGTCAGATGCTGGTTGTATTTTGCAGATGGAACTGACAGTATTGGCCGATGAAATGGGTTTCTCTTTAAACATCGTATCTCTTCCTTAGATAGTAGTAAGATAGCGTATGTTGTGATGCCTGGGTTCAAACCCAGCTTTACCACTTACTATAACCTTTAAGCAAATGACTTAATTTTCCTGTGCTTCAGTTTCCTCATTGGTAAAATAGGGAGAATAAAATAACTATTTCATAAAGTTGACATAAGGAGTAAATGAGTAAATATTTGTAAAGCACTTAGAACACTGCCTGCCATTTAGGAAATACTATACAAGTGTTTACAAGGCAAATGAGCGTTCGTCAATCCCCAGCTTAGGTCAGGCTCTGGGTTATGAGTTATGAACTTTTCCTCCAGCACTTTCATAGTTTATAGATATATATTTAAATGATCATTTAACAAATAAATGTCTCCCTCACTACATTGAGAGCTTCATAAGGGAAGAAACTGTTCACTCTTCTACCCTGGTAACTAGAACAATTCCCTGGTTCATGGTCACACTCATGAGAGATTTACTGAGTCAGTGAAGGAATGACCTGATCACATTTCACTATAATTATCTTTTTACACTTTTATCTACTCTACCAGTGTAAAAATCTTCTCCTTTATCTTTTGATCTCCTGTATCTAGTAGAATTCTAAGCGCAAAATAGGTGCTCAATAAATGCGTGTTGCACTAAAGCAAGAACTCTATAAACATTTTCTGTAATCACTGCACTAAATGTATGATATTATCAATCTGAAGGGCTGTTTGGCAAAAAAGAACAGCTGATGTGAACAAACAGAATAACCTGAGTGTGGCAAACATTCTTTTACCAAGATGTCTGAAATAATCTTCTTTAATACATGCACCAGCATAGCAACGGAAATTCTGCTGTGACTGCAGAAATACTAATCATAAAAGGTAGGCACCCAACGGATGTACCTTCAAACTGCAAGTCATCTACAGCTGCCATTCAGCCAAGGGTCTTCTCCCAATTATTAGGAAGATAATTTACAGAGGTCTAAAAAGGAAAAATAAATAAATTTCATATGATAACATTAAAAAATCTACAAACGAATCTTATTTCAGCATTAGAAATGGTATTGCTTTTCCTTGCGTCCTTTTTTAGTGGGATCCGATAGGTTTATATAAAGATAACCATTTAGCATCAGATACTATTAAAACTGTTATTAAAAAAAACTAATGGTGGGGGGCTCCATTGGTTCCATGCAATCTCACTGTGTGGGTGTTTAAGGGCCAGGTGCAGCCTGGAGATGGAAGAATGAGGAAGGGGAGGCTGGGGTTTGAGAGAGGTGGCTATGAGGGCAGTGGAGAGCAAAGGCTGTCAGCCTAGCCAGTGGTTAAGGGCACAGGCTCTGGAGTCGAACAGACCTGGGTTTGATTCCCGATTCTGCTGCTTCTGGCCGTAAGACTGTGGGCTCCTGGGGGGGCCTCAATTTTCTCATCTGTAAAATGGGTTCATAATTGTACTTACACGATACTGGGTGCCATTAACTGAGGCAAGTAAGTGTAAGGCGCTTAGTGCATAGCGAAGCAATTAGTAGGCGCTGGAGTGATGGGGACCCTACAGCCTGGGGCACCGTGAGCCCAGGACGGTCTGGGAAAGAGCTACCCAAGAAGCACGGATAGTGTTTTAGGAGGAGAAGCTGGGCCGCAGCGGCCCGGGTGGGCAGGAGATCCCGAGCTCCCTCAGTCCCGGGCCGGCCCCACAGACCCCGCCACCTCACCTCGCGGGGCTCGACGTCCAGCTGGTGCGAGGAAGTCTCGGGCCTCAGATTCTGCGCGCAGGCTCTGGTCCCGCCGAGTTGCCGGAAACCGGAGATCCGGGGGGCAGACCTTCTCCACCTCCTCCGGGCAGAGCCCCGCCTCCTTAAAAAGACAGCACCTCCCGGAGGCGCCGCTTCCCGAGACCTCTGCGGGCAACTGTACCAAAGCTCGCTCCCTCTGCGGCCCCTCGAAGGGCTAGGCTTCGGCTCTTAAAGAGGCAGGTGGCGCTGGGCGGACCGGTGGGGACGTGAGAGGGTCCGCCTCGGCTCACCTCGCTCCGGGGGTGGGGGGCGCAGAGAATTCTCTGGAGAGTGGGGTTTACTTTATGTTTGGTTATACCTCTTTTCTTATTGAAATATAAAGTAGCGTAACGGAAGACGATTGTGAAAAGAAAAAAATGTCATCAATCCCCCCATTCTTTTTTGGCCATAAAAATTTAATTAACCAGTGAGGGAGAACGAGACAATTAGTTTTTGAGTGTTGAGTCAGTGATCTAGGGAAGGATGATGTCTGTTCCTAGGGACACCCCCGTAAGTGTGGTAATTTGTTCCTTCACTCCTGCGACGGTCTACCTTATGCCCTTGGAGCAGTGAGGGGTGACTGGAGATTGGCCTCACTCCCCGCTCTGTCCCCGCCTCGGCATCTGACCACCACCTTGACTATAGCAGGGGCCCAGTAAACGACGGTGAAGTTGCACTGAGTAAGCCGGTGAGAAACATTTTGCCCCGCCGCCAGTCTTTGCTTGGTTATCACCTACACAGCCCTCCAGATGTCGGTACCCTTTCCTCCTCCTAGGGAAAGCCTGCCTTCGCCTCCCAGGACTTCTTTTGCGCCCATAGTCCCCTGTGCTTGCTTAAACCATGGCAGTTGTTATTGTTTGCCTATCTTTGCCAGCGTGGGAGTGCTTTGGGGGGAAGGATCAGGAATGACTCTGGTCTCCAGGTCCTCAAGGCAGCCCAGAACCAGGGACACGATAGTTGCTCACTGAAGGTTAACTGTAGAGCGATCAAGTTCTGGCTGGCTGAGCAGCATAAGCCAAATTCACTGCCTACACAAGGTGGAACCTTTGACTTTGGCCTCACTACACTGGGCCCTTATGGTCAATCGGAATGGCTTATTACACCTGACTAATAAAATAGTTACACACATACGGAGCGTATTTATTGAACTGACATTGTGATCAGGCTTTATACATGCAGATCTCTAATTCTCAGAACAATCCAGCAAGGTTGAGGTGATTATCCTCATTTTATAAAGAGAAAGCTGGGGCTTCCCTGGTGGCACAGTGGTTGAGAGTCCGCCTGCCAATGCAGGGGACATGGGTTCGTGCCCCGGTCCGGGAAGATCCCACGTGCCACAGAGTGGCTAGGCCCGTGAGCCATGGGCGCTGAGCCTGCGCATCCGGAGCCTGTGCTCCGCAACGGGAGAGAAAAAAAAAAAAAAAAAAAGAGAAAGCTCAAGTTAGCGTATGTATGTGCAGGGTACTTTGGTTGAATGTGTACCAGGAATGAATTGCAACACACGAATTCGTTGTGCAAATGCATCAAACACTTCTCATGCCCCATGGCAGATCCTCTTGGCTTCATCAACTGCTTATTTCACCACCACTGATCTTATTCCAGCTTCAGCAGCTGTAACCTAAGTGAGCTTCACCTCAAGCCCATAACTCGGGCTTCTTGCTTTCTGCATCAGGGCTTGTGTCTTGATACCTTGGGATTATGGGACTGCTGGAACTGTTCAGCACTGGGACAGGTGCAAGCCAGAAGTGCGGAAGTGGGGAGCAGTCAATGCCTCATGGGACAAATCTTGGACCGATGGAGTCAGTAACTGATGAATACATGCTTCTCTCTTTTTCCCCTCAGACTCTCCTCCGATATTTCATACAGCTTTCAAACTGTCTTGCAGGATCAAACAACCAAATGCCTTTGGAAGTGGCCAATTTGACTAGATAATTCTTTGTAGAGCACCCTCAACAAAGAATTGCACCCTTGCACTGGTTCTCCTTCCTCCCCTCCGCCATTGCATTGCAATTCACCCTTGCAATAGCTCTCCTTTCTCCTCTGTTTTACAGCTCCTGTCCTTCACTCCTGATCCTTGGACTCACACTTGCCAATAAAGTACTCACATGAGATGAGGAACCCACACTGTCATGTTGGCCAAGAGTGGCCCCAGAAAGCAGCCCTCAGGATGGAATTTTGGAACCGGACTCCTCACCAGTCAGATGGCAACAACAACCCCATTGCTAGTGATAAGTGTGTGTGTGTGTCAGGCCGGGGGGGCGGGGCAGTGATAACACCTAGACTATATATTTCTTCTCTTGGAAACAGAAGTAAAAGTTTTATTGATATATTAATTATAATGATATGTAAGTTTTGGCTCAAAACAAGACAAGAATCAAAGATAACTACACCAGTTTAACTAAAACAGCAATTCTCAACTGGGGACTATTTTGCTCCCAGGGATATTTGGCAATATGTGAAGACAATTTTTTTTAAAGAATTTTATTGGGATTTCCCTGGTGGCGCAGTGGTTAGGAATCCGCCTGCCAATGCAGGGGACACGGTTCGATCCCTGGTCAGGGAAGATCCCACATGCTGTGGAGCAACAAAACCCGTGCGCCACAACTACTGAGCCTGCACTCTAGAGCCCACACGCCGCAACTGCTGAAGCCTGTGCCCTCTAGGGCCCACGCTCTGCAGGATGAGAATCCCACGCACTGCAGCGAAGAGTAGCCCCCACTCACGGCAACTAGAGAAGGCCCACGTGCATCAGCGAAGACCCAAAGCAGCAAAAAAAAATAAAAACCATCATTCACTCTAAAAAAAATAATTTTATTGGAGTATAGTTGATTTACAATGTTGTGTTAGTTTCAGGTGTACAGCAAAGTGCTTCAGCTACATATATATATATATATATATATATTCATCTTTTTCAGATTCTTTTCCCATATAGGTTATTACAGAATATTGAGTAGAGTTCCCTGTGCTATACAGTAGGTCCTTGCTGGTTATCTATTTTATATATAGTAGTGTGTGTATGTTAATCCCAAGCTCCTAATTTATCCCTCCCCTGCACGTTTCCCCTTTGGTAACCATAAGGTTGTTTTCAAAATCTGTGAGTCTGTTTCTGTTTTGTAAATAAGTCTGTTTATACCACTTTTTTAGAGTCCACAGATGAGTGATATCATGATATTTGTCTTTCTCTGCCTGACTTATGAAGGCATTTTTGATTGTCATGACTTGTGAGGTGCTACTGGCCAGGATGCTTCTAAACGTCCTGCAATGCACAGGATAGCCCTTCTCAACAAAGAATTATCTAGTTGAAAATGTCGATGGTGTCAAGGTTGAAAAACTCTGAGCTCAAAATGTTCATATTTCCTTAACTCATCTGTCCAACTATGGTAAGGAAGGTGAGCCCAGCTGATGATACTAATTAGAGCTCTAACTGCTCTGTGAGGGGAATAAACCAGTGAGAGAGAACCCACCCCACCCTCACCTAGATAGAATGGGGGAAGAATGCGGGAGGAAGAGAAGCAGAGGAGCAAGCCTTGCTTTGATGGACAGGGATGGGGGTGGAGGGGACGGTCTGAAAAGTATGAGCCTTGTTAGATGCTGCATGTGATCCTGACAGAGTCCCCTGGCTTTCCGCAGGGGAAATCTGGTGACCCCACAGCTGAGCCATGCTCCAGAAAGTGTCTCCAACACCTGCTGAGTGACGCCCAACCAGGGAGAAGGCTGCTGGCCTTTGCATCATCGTCTCAGGTGCAATGTTAGAGAACTGCCACTGATTATTTTGGCAAATGCCCTGTTTTTATAGCGCGATCTCTGAGTCAGGTCAAATAAAACCAAGACCTGAGAACGGAGCTTTCCAAAAGAGATGTCAGACAAGTCACATAATGACAATTGTCTGTGAATGGGACTTTTTGAAGAGCTCCAAACCTATTCTTCCCCTTCCAGTGGTTACTAAATTGCTAATTTTTGCAACAACCATGGCTGTGAAACTGTTGTTTTTCAAGGCTACCTTGGAGTGGGGAGAGGGGAATGGGGCTAGAGCAAGTTAAAACACCACAAAGCTCACTGTTCTTACTAAGATTCAGCTGTTTTTATTGAATAGACACTTCTCTGATTATCACAAACCTTTCTTTGATTAATTTACAGAATACCGAAAGAAGCTGATTTTGACAATTTTTGACAGTGTTCTCATGCTTTTATGAAGGAGTGGGTTTTCAGAGATTCTTAGTCTTCCATTCCAGAAGTGCTGCTAATTCACTTACATTAAATGAATTTATTTTTATATATAGATATTTCAGTCATCTTTTTCACATTAATTACTTCTTTATATCTTCTTTACCTTTTTTTTGTATCTTTATTGGAGTATAATTGTTTTACATTGTTGTGTTAGTTTCTGCTGTACAACAAAGTGAATAAACTATATGTATACATATATCCCCATTTCTCCTCCCTCTTGAGCCTCCTTTATCCCACCCCTCTAGGTGGTCACAAAGCACCGAGCTGATCTCCCTGTGCTATGCAGCAGCTTCCCACTAGCCATCCATTTTACATTTGGAAGTGTATATATGTCAGTGCTACTCTCTCACTTCGTCCCAGCTTCCCCTCTCCCCCCGCCACCTGTCCTCAAGTCCGTTCTCTACTCTGTGTCTTTATTCCTGCGCCACCACTAGGTTCACCAGTACTACTTTTTTAGATTCCATATATATGTGTTAGCATATGGTATTTGTTTTTCTTTCTGACTTACTTCACTCTGTATGACAAAATGTAGGTCCATCCACCTCACTACATATAACTCAATTTCATTTCTTTTTATGGCTGAGTAATATTCCATTGTATATATGTGCCACATCTTCTTTATCCATTCATCCAATGATGGACACTTAGGTTGTTTCCATCTCCGGGCTATTGTAAATAGAGCTGCAATGAACATTGTGGTACATGACTCTTTCTGAATTATGGTTTTCTCAGGGTATATGTCCAGTAGTGGGATTGCTGGGTCATATGGTAGTTCTATGTTTAGTTTTCTAAGGAAGCTCCATACTGTTCTCCATAGTGGCTGTATCAATTTACATTCCCACCAACAGTACAAGAGGGTTCCCTTTTCTCCACACCCTCTCCAGCATTTATTGTTTGTAGATGTTTTGATGATGGCCATTCTGACTGGTGTGAGGTGATACCTCATTGTGGTTTTGATTTGCATTTCTCTAATTATTAGTGATGTTGAGCATCTTTTCATGTTCTTTCCCTTCTTACACTAGCTATTTTTTTCTTGCTAGTTCAAAGTTATACATCCATTTTATTTTGGTTGTTGCTTTTAACTCATTTATTTTTTCCTGTCTGCTTTTTAAGCTTATTTATATATATTTATATATGTATATATACATATATAATACTCTATCGAACAAGTGGCTCCTAATCTGTTATTTAACACATTCTCCCCATATTTATTTATTTTATTTTATTTTATTTTAATTTTTAAAATATATTTTTGGCTGCGTTGGGTCTTTGTTGCTGCACGCGGGCTTCCTCTAGTTGCGGCGAGTGGGGGCTACTTTTCATTGTGGTGTGCGGGCTTCTCATTGCTGTGGCTCCTCTTGTTGTGGAGCACAGGCTCTAGGCATGCAGGTTTCAGTAGTTGTGGCTTGCAGGCTCTAGAGCGCAGGCTCAGTAGTTGTGGCACATGGGCTCCGTTGCCCAGCGGCATGTGGGATCTTCCCGGACCAGGACTCGAAACTGTGTCCCCTGAATTGGCAGGCGGATTCTTAACCACTGTGCCACCAGGATGCCCTCCCCCCAGTCTTTAATTCAACAATTGTGTATTTGTTTCCTAAAACTTCTATTTGACTCTTTTAAAAATCATTTTGGGTAGCCTATTAATGCTTTTTTTTTTTAATCCAGGAAGGCAAATGATTTAATAGCTTACTGGTGGAAGCTGATCTTTGCTGTCAGGGTGCCCTGGCGCCTATGAGTGCTTTAAACCTTTAATATGTAGTTATAGCTATTTAAATAATCTTATTGATAATTCCAATGTCTGAAATTCTTGAGGATCTAAACGTTGTTGTTTCTGCTGATTCTCACTCATGGTGGTTTGTTTCTTTGTGTGTTGATAATCTTTGTGAGCTCATATTAGTTTCACCCTAATCTATGTGAATCCTCAATATCTAAATATTTTGTTTTTTCTAAAAAGTCCTATTTGGCTCTTTTATCAAAAGTACATGGTCATTTTTGACACCAAGATACAGGCGATACCTCTTCATAGAGGAGTTGCTATTGCATCTTCCAGAAGCCAGGAGTCACTGCTGATAGGGGGCCACTTCCATATCCTTTGAGGAGTTTCCATCTTAATACAGGAATCTCAGAGTCAGCTCTCCTATTCTACAGCTGGTTCAGGGCTTAGTTTCACAACCACAGAGCTGATACTGGCGCCTCTCAGGCCTGCTCTAACTTTTCTATTTGCCCAGGACTACTTTGCCCAGTTCCCTACTTTGGTTTTACCCAATGATATTATTTATGTTTATGTATATACATATGTGTGAATGCTTGGAGGTATTCCCTTAACTCTTATGAAAGCAGTACATTAAATAGTTATTTCATGGAAAAGCTAACTGTTTAGTGAGCAAAAGTTTGACGTACTGCCAGAAATGAAATTCTCAACTAACCTTTCTGGTACTCAGAATTCCAAGCATGCACAAAAAAGTAACGAACAATATAATGAAATCCCGTATACCATCATGTATATTTACTTATTGCAATTTTGCTATTGATCCCCCTTTTCCTTCTTTCTTTTTATGGTTTTGTGAGGTCACTTTTAAAACTTAAACTCATTTGTTTTGAAGAGAAACTTCTATTGACTCCATGAAATGGAAAACCATGATCTCTTGCCAGTAATAGAATGTAACCATAATAATAAATAAAATGAAAATCAAAGTTATTAAAAATTAAGAAAATAAACAATAAGATATAAAAGTAATAATGCATTGATTTATACAAATACATACCTGAAAAGTTTTCCAGTGAGAATAAAGGAATAACTTATGATCAATCAGTAATGAAGATATGTATATTAAACTCATTGCCTCTTCATTTAAAATAAGGATTAGTTTCTAGAATAATAAAATGATTCTGTCTTTTGGTTTTGATGTTATAGCACCAAGAATCCCAACTCCCAACACATATCTGCAATTGGAAAGGAAGGGCAAAACATATTTAACCACTTTTTAGATTTCAGTTATACATATTTATAACTACTTTGTATTCTAAACAATTGTCAGCTTCCAAAGTGATGGTTGATGTACTGCTGAAAATAACAGAATTACTGGAGTTTTGAAATATTTATGGGAAGCCTGTGTAACATGGTGTATCAGAGGTCCACCCCAAGGTCCAATGATTTGTAGGAGGTCTCAGAGAACTTATCATATAGTCATACTCATAGCTATGCTTTAACAGTGAAAGGATACAAGAGAAAATCAGCAAAGGGAAAAGGCACATGGGGCCAAAGTCCAGGGAAAACCTGGCATAAGCTTCCAAGAGTTCTCTCCCAGTGGAGTCACACAGGATACACTTAACTCTTCCAGCAACAAGCTGTGACAACATGGGTGAAATATCCTCTACCAGGGAATCTCATCAGAGAACAATGCCCAAGGTTTCTACTGGGGGCTGGTCACATAGTCATCCTCTGTCTAGCATGTGCCTAAATTCCAAATTCCCAGAAGGAAAGCAGGTTTTCACGGTAGCTAAAATGCGAAAGGAACCCAAATGTCCATCAACAGATGAAGGGATAAGCAAACTGTTTTATATACATACAATGGAATATTATTCATCCTTAAGAAAAAAGGAAATTTCACACTATGCTACCACATGGAAGAAACTTGAGGCCTATGCTAAGTGAAATAAGACAGTCATAAACAGACAAGTACTGTATCATTCCACTTATATTAAGTATTTACAGTAGTCAAAAATCATAAAGACAGAAAATGTAATTGTGGTTGCTAGGAGCTAGCAGGAGGAGGGAATGGAGGATTATTGTTTAATGAGTATCATTTCAGTTTTACAAGATGAAAAGAGTTATGGTGATGGCCGCACAATAATGTGGATGTTCTTAATGCCACTGAACTATACACTTAAAAATGGTTATAATGGTGAATTTTATGTTATGTGTATTTTATCACAATAAAAGAACAAAAATAAAAAAGTAATAGGGCCAGTGATTGCAGATGTAGATCATATAGTTCTAATAACTTTACATAACAACTCTTTCCAAAAACAAAGGTAAGGGAATAGAAGAAGATACACTACGCTAGCACTAATCAAAAGAGAGCTGGAATGACTATATTACTTTCAGACAGAGCAAACTTCAGAGCAAGGAAAATTGTCGGGGATAAAGACATTTTATAATGATAAAGGGGTCAATTCTCCAAGAAGGCATAAGCTTTAATGTGTATGTGCCTAACAACAGAGCATCAAAATACATGAGGCAAAAACGGATAGAACTGAAAGGAGAAATAGACAAATCCACTCTTATAGTTGGAGACTTTAATACCCCTCTGTCAGAAATGGATGGATCTAGCAGGCAGAAAATCAGAAAGGACATAGGAGAATTCAACAGCACCATTGGTCAACTGGATGTAATTAACATCTATAGACCACTTCACCCAACAAGAGTGGAATACACATTCTTCTCGAGCTTACATGGAACATTCACCAAGATAGACAACATTTGAAGCCATAAAGCATACCTTAACAAAACAAACATAAAACAGAAATCATACAATATATGCTGTCAGACCACAGTGGAATCAAACTAGAAATCAATAACAGAAAAATACTTGGAAAACTCCAGAATACTTATAGATCAAAGAAAACACTTCTAAATAACACAGGGCCAGATAAGAAACCTCAAGAGAAATTAAGAAATATTTTGAACTAAATGAAAATACAACTTAACAACATTTGTGAGATGCAGCAGAAGTAGTACCTACAAGGAAATTAATAGCATTTAAAGCATATATTAGAAAAGAAAGGCCCGGGTTCAATCCTGGTCGGGGAACTGAGATCCCATGAAAAGTGCAGCGTGGCCAAAAAAAAAAGAAGAGGGCTTCCCTGGTGGCGCAGTGGTTGGGAGTCCGCCTGCTGATGCAGGGGACACGGGTTCATGCCCCGGTCCGGGAAGATCCCACATGCCGCGGAGCGGCTGGGCCCGTGAGCCATGGCCTCTGAGCCTGCGCATCTGGAGCCTGTGCTCCACAACGGAAGAGGCCCCAACAGTGAGAGGCCCGCGTACCGCAGGAAAAAAAAAAAAAGAAGAAGAAAGAGAGAGAAATCTGCATCAATAATCTAAGCTTCCACCTTAGCAATTTGGAAAAAGAAGAGAAAATTAAATTCAAAGTAGTCA